AAATTCAGTAGCAGTTACCTTGTTCAAATGTTTTGTTGAAACTTTAGAGAATTTAAAAAAACTGAAACCACTCACAAAAAGTGTTACTGGATAACTCTCTTGTGAGTTGTGAGTTGTTTTTAAAATAAGTAGTGGTTGAGATAAGAATAAGGATGATAACATAATGAGTTAGTTGCTATAACCCAGAAATCACAAAAGGAGAGAATTCAGCTGTGGATTGAGTGAAAATGTCAGATACTCTGAAACAAACAATAAGTAGCCCTGGGAAACAATCAGCTCAAAATTGGGTCAAGATCAGAATTCTATTTTACCACCACTCACTCCCTCACTCACCTGAATGACATATGTGGCTTTGCCTCCTATAGGAGCCAGTAGCCACAAAAAATTGTATTGTTTTTACGGGAAAACATATTTCAATAACTTGCCTATTTTCAATGAAAACATAACAGCTTTAAGTTTCTTTAATTTACACATCTAACAAAATGTCATCTTGTTGACCGCAATTTCCAATGTGACCCTTTCTGTAAATCGCTTGCCCAAAATACTGTGGTGAACCATGTCATCTTCCTCTGCCAACATTCTGTACAATTTAAATTTATATGTATCACAGAGCAAGGATGTGCATTATCCAACAAATATAAAAAAAAGATACGTGAATAAGTGTGGATATATAAGTAAGTTAGGCTAAAAAAACTTAATAATTTTACCTTCAGGAGATATACTTTTTGTTGTTAGACAAAGAATACGCAAGCCTTCTTGCTGCCAAGGGTCAATCACATCTCTTGATAGATTCTCCACACTTTCCTTGGTTAATTCTTTCAGGTCCCCATTGATTCCAACAATATGAGTGCAATGTTCAAGCAGTACCTCAGCAGCTCCCTTGGAATAAAGCTGATAGCCTCCTTGATTACCACTGATAATAGTACTCATACATTTGCGGTCAGGTGTGAACTCAAAAACCTTAATTAACTTGCTCTCAGGATAGTCATCTCTCCAGGACTGGTAGTACTCTCCAAACTGAAACAGAAACTGCAACAGTGCAGCGTCAATCCTGTCACCACTCTGCTTAGGAATGTTGTCCTTTCCTCCCTCCTACAGACAAAAGGATAAGAGGGTACAGTTTAAGATTCATGTGTACTTTTAAACAATGTAAAATCCATTTTATATCTCTCAAGAAACAAAATATGTTATTGTATATTAGCCAACCCTTCCTTAAGATCTTGAGGCATGTGATACCTTCTCAATTTAAGCTAATACAGAACCATCTATAACTGGTTGGAGCTAAAGTCAAAGAAAGGCTCTTTGTTAGTGAGTCCAAACAGAGTTTGCACTGTGAAGTGTACTGTTGTGTGCTTGCAATTCATAAATTCTGAACCCAATAATCCTTCTCATATTGGAGAATTGAGTGGTTGATCTCCACATCCCACTCTTCAAAGCAGAGTGAAAACTGGCAAATGAAAGTTCAGACACTTGTTTACCTTAACACTGATTATCAATTAAAAGCCCACCTGCTAAAATTCAGATGACTCTAGACCACTTTCAAAATTAACAATCAGGAGTAAATGTATTTTGCCTGAAACTTTAAATTTGTTTACAGGCAATTTCTCAATTTCTATAAATGTTATCTTAAATTTGTTTCCTCAAAAAGAATTCCATACTTCATAATTGTGATCAATGTGTCTTACTTATAGTCTTAGACCAAATAATATATTTTATTGCAAAATCATTAAAAAATTAAAATTTTTAAAGATGAAAACAGTTTTCAACCATATCTGAGTAGAGGACTTCAATTCTGACCAACTACTCTCCTCAGGTAATAGTAATTCATTGCTGTATATATTTGTCAGGAGCAAGAAACTTAAGTTATTAACATAGCAATAACATTGTGGAATTCTATTGAGCTAAATTGATAGACTGATAATACGTAATTGTTTGTGCCATGTATTTCTGAGATATTTCATTATTTCACTTTCTAACCCACATTTGAATCAAAGACAAAACAGGTTCTATTTGTGGAAATTTTCCAAAGTATCAAGTCAAATAAATGATTGTCTTTTGGAGTTCTTAACTACAGACATGTTTTGAAAAAACAAGGCTACCATGGACAAAGTGGTTTTAATTAGTAAAACAAATTTCATAAGTAATTGGTGAGCATTTTTTTTCTCTGTGCCATTCCTATTTTGTTGGACCTGTCTTTGTTTTGTTTCACGAAGCTTCATAACATTATATGTATGTGATTAGTCTTTGAGTTATTCTGAGATTGGATCAATGAAAAACCTCTAGGAGCACATTCACATCCCTTACGAAATCTAATATATTTAACCATATACCAATACAAATAAAAGGTTTGACAGACAAAAAGATGTCACTGCACCTAGAAATAATTATATACAAACCAGGATCTGTGCTGAATAACTTGTGTTGATGGATATTGCCTTGCACAGATCTTCAAACAGGTTTTTTGGGATGTTGCTTCTGAACCCTCGTAAGTCCTCCTGAAAAAGATAGACTTGTTCTCCAATGTAGCTCTTTTGTACTACCATGCGATTCTGGGTAAGAACCCCTGTCTTGTTACAGCAGATGTTTGTAATATTTCCCATTGTTTCTATCATGTTTACATGTCGCACCAATGCTTTGTCATTGTACATCTCCTTGACACAGAATGCCAGACAGGATGACACCACTAGAGAGAGGGCTTCTGGGACAGCAATGATAAGCACAACAACACCAATGATTAGGGACTTGATGTATTCATTAATGAGACCAGGCTCAAAGGACTGTCCTTGTGTAGAGAAGGTGTGCACACTGAAGCGGATGACTATAACTAAGATGGCAACAACTGCCAGGATGATGCCGATATGACCAAGAGCAACTTCAACCCTATTAACTTTTTGTTGAAGCGTAGCATTATCTTCCTTGTGGTCAAAAGAAACTGAATTGATATTCAAAACTGCTTCATTGGGGAAAACTGCCTTAAATGTAATAGCAGTGGGTGATATAGCAGACTGATTGTTGCTCTTGTAGATCTGGGTATTGGGACCAACAACCAACACAATCATTTTGCCACTTCCATTGACAACATGGGTGCCAGCAAATACCAGGGGGTCTATTGCTTTGGAGACCATACTCTTCTCGCCTGTCAAAGTTGATTCATTGACAAGAAGATCATTTTCCTGAACAACCACTCCATCAGCTGGGATAAGAGTTCCTTTATTCAACAGGCACAGATCACCCACAACCACCTCTGAAGCAAGAAGATCTAATACAATACCTCCACGGATAATCTTAACTTTACGTTCTCTGTTGATCTTGGACTGCAAACTGTGGAAATGACTTTCTTTTAGATAGTCACTAAAAGCCACCAACAGAATCATTATCATTACGGTACTCATGATTCCGATACCCTCGTACATTGCTACAGCCAAACCATTCCGACCTTCACATCTTTCAGGAAAGACAGCCCCCAGAATTACAGAGAGCAAAGCTCCCATAAACAAAATCAGTATCACCCTGTCCTTCAAAGCACAAAAAAGATATTGTAAAGGAGGTCTAGTGGGTTCCAGAGGCATAAAGTTGTTTCCAAACTCTGCTCGCCTGTGCATCACATCCTCGTGTATTCCAATTATTCCCCTGTTCATCGAGGTTTGAAGCTTGTGTGTCAAGTGCTTAACATCTCCAAACTTTTCTTCAATAACAGCAGCGGCTTCACTCCCCTACTTTTCATGACCTCCACTAGCTTCTCCTTTGTAATGTTTGTGAGATTAGGCCTAAACCCCGAGTCTGTTTCGTCCGTCATTTTGAAATATGACGGTCACAGACTGTGCGCGAGTCAAGACTGATGATAATAATAGGTATGATGAAAACGATCGTTATAGCTGTTCACCTAGGTACAAAACAAATTATATTCAGTCTGGATGTTCGAGACAATGGCAATATTTTCAGCCCTTTGAAAACCCTCGTGACTGAGCGAGTGGTTTATAGCGAGAGACGTGATCGAGTTTCGATAAAAATCGCACAGATAAAATTGAACTACGAGGTCTAAATGTGTTTGATATATATCTCACACGAAAATCTATTATGAAAGACGGGAAAAAAATTTAGCACCTTTGTAAGAAGTAGTGTGCGAAGAAGTACAAAGTCTCCTTAAGCTAATATACTCGCTGAAAAGATGGTTAGTGAGTCACTACCTTCATTACCTTAATTTTTATGTAATTTCCTTACCTGTGTGCAGTTAACTGAGGAAAAAACTACACTCACCCGAAACAAATGGCCAATGAAGCACTTACTATGTTTTTCTCGCTAACATTTCCCAGAAATTTCCTAACCCTCCCGGGACTACACGGCCAAATTGTTCTCTCAATTGTAGGGGAGGGGTGAGGTGTATCCTACCGTTAGTTTTCCTCTCGCTTTCATGGGACTGCCTCTGCACTGAATCTTCAGTCCAATTTTTCGCGATTAATTACTGATCTAACACTGAATGCTACCTTCACAATATAGATAATAATAAATGCACACAACTTACTTTCTAGGGAGGGGGCGGATCCGATATTGCTAATTGCATGCACCCATGTTTGAAGTTGTTTCGAATTTTCAAGATTTACCAGTTATATATAATTTTTATCGCTCCAGGGGGGCGGGAAGATGAGAGACCCTGGGAACGAGGTTGGAAAAAGCAAAGGTTCTTACTAATCATCGTTTTGGGACAGCCCCGATTTTAGCGGCAACGACTTGTTTTTGTGTCTCTTTGTACTTCGTACCCTGATATGATCACCCTTCATGTGATCTCTGTCTGGACCTTAGTAACACACGCGGTGAGATCAAAATTCGTGTATCATCACAACAGCGTGTCTAAAAATATTCATATAACACTGTGTAATTCATGGACCTGATCCAATCAACACTTGTACATACAGGAACAGAAATTATTATTCTTGCAGCCTCTCATTAAACAAAACATTAGCTGAAGAAAAATTCTGTACAATCAAACCAAGCCGAAAGCGTAAGATTATATCCTTTATTACGCATGTTACACGGGAGTTCCCTATAATATCTTTATCATAATGATAATGCAAAGGATCCTATTGGTAATACTACAGTACCTTCAGTACGCTATGGCGAGACTCTCCATTGAATCCCGCCTTGAATCATGGTACAGCAAATAAATAATTAATTAAAAATAGACAACTCGTTCATCTTAACTTCCAAATATTGAAATGCCGTTTGGAGCAATCAATTTTAAAAAAATAGAAATACAGACAGCTATAAGGAATACACTGTTGCTATAGTAAGATCTAGAAAAGACCTCAACTCCACTATTGTTTATAACTGAAATTTAAGTTAATTATATCTAAAACTACCACCTTAGTGCCATCTTAACTAGATTTTGGTTTGACATCAGCATATTTATCTAGAAAGCTTCTGAAGTCGGGTAAGTTCCACAGGTAACTATTAGTAGCTCTCAGTTACCTTTGTAACAAGAAACTTTCTAAATACATAAAGGAGTTTAACCTTTGTCATCTTAAAATGATTGGCTCATGTTTCAAGAAAACTGCTTCCTCCACATTTCATTGGTAAAGAGAGGAAGAATTGACCTGTCATTTCTCCCTTAGTAGATGATTCTTTTGAACCATCCATAGTTTACCACTTGGCCCCAATAGAGAAACAAAATTAACACTTAAACTATGTCTAAATTTCCTGGTGTGAAAGTGCCAGTCTGAGAAAACAATTAAAAAAATGTAAAATGCAAGGTGCAAAAGTAACAAATGGGTTCAATTCCTAAAATTTCTGGTAGAATCCTTGAGATTTTGTGAATGGTAAAGTTCTGACCAACCCTTGAAACAATACAATGCAAAAATGGCATTGTAATTTCAGCCTCAATATATAATTACATAAATATCACCAAAATTATACATTTTAGTTAAACAGTTGATCTTTTGCCAAATGATTTCAAATGGTTTTGAACAGATTAAAATATCATTCTGTCCTTAAGGAACCTACTAAGAATTCTCTACATATAAATGAAATATTCAATCCCTTTAGTAATTGCAGCATGTTGACTTATTTTGTTCTGAAAACTCTTCCAACACTCAATGAAAATAAGGAAATACTTTCTGACAGTTAACTAAGGATCCAGAAAACTCAATCATAGCTATGTCGATCATGGTATAAAGAGTGAAGTATAAGGAAGGTTACCTTAAAGGATACAGAGAAAAGTAAGAGGAAAAAATTAAAAAGCCAATGTACTAATTTAATCACTGTTTTTGACACTTCAAGTGAGGAAGTACAACAGCAATGGGAAAAGCACCTTTAGCATAGAGGAGATGTTAAGAGTAAAGCTGGTAAAAAAATTCCAAACAAATTAATTTTCTGATATCAATGCATACTGATCCTATTAACCACTGAATTTCAAACCACTGTCATAAGCAATCTGTGAGACATTCAACGGCTTTCCTGAGCAAGAGATAAAGTATAAAAGGAAAGGGCTACTTAATCATTTTGTACTCTTTACTATGACTCAGTTGACTTGAACTGCTTGCAAATTAGATTTAAACATCTGTCAGTTAAAATTTTATACTTGGTTCTATCTACTCTGGAGACCAAAAGGATTAAGACAGAGAAGGAGAATTTTAATCTGTCCACACGGACTTCCACAGCAATCATGATCACCTGCATAGATTAAGAAAATGTTATATCAGAGATAGTTTAATTCATAAAAGAGTATGGTTAGTTCTCAAGTTAGAGTTATTTCTCTACTTTTGATTTTCAATACAGAGGCTGATAAGAGTGATCAGTAGCAACATAGAGCATAGAGCACATCAAGTGCCTCAATGTCCTGTGAATTAGCTTTACTGTGTTTCAGTGTAGAGTTACTTAAGCCCAACAAAAAAGTGGCCTGTTGAATTTCATGAAAGAACCAGCAATGCCAGGTGACCTTAATGATAGTGATCAAGCACTAATCTAATAGTAATGAACATGTAAGACATTTAAAGTGATAAACCCTTTCACTAGTATTTACTGACAATAATTTCAATCATGTTATAACAACACTAAATTTCGCATCTTAGACAGAGCTTTCCACACTTGCATACCGCTGTATTGCTTCAGCTCCAGGCTCAGTGCTATCCAAGGCAGATGGATACTGTGAATCATCATAGACCATTGCTGTTCGCACAGGGGCTAGCAAAGAATTAAATACTGCTGGAGATGCAATGGCTCTTTGACTTCGTCCATCAATAACACTTCTGAATGCATTTACCACTCGGATCTAAGTAAAATAAAACCCCATAGTCATTAAGGAACCACACACTACAATGGATTGAACAAGCAAGAAATAAGTGTACATCATGCTTTGCTGCAGAGAGTACTCATTGCTTGATGAATAATCAAAGGTTTTGTATACTGTATATTGTAGAGGCAAGTGAACAAAAATACATGATAAGTCTTGAATTCTACTTGAAAAAAGCAGTCCAAGCGCAGACAAGTGTATATCACCATTTAATGATGTAGCACAAGATTTGCTTTTCAAGTTTGGTGAAACTTTGCTATCTTCTAAAACCTTGCCAAAGAAGAGAAATCAATTAGTCAACTAAGGGTTGTTTCCAATCCTGCCTTAAGTCTTGTATAAAGCAAACCAGCTCAGGACCATACTGGAAGAATGTTTGTCCATAGCATTTTTTTTTTAAGCATAAAGTAATTGCAGTGAGGTGGCACACAAAAAGGACAGAGAGCTGATATTCTACTACTGTGGCCACATAACTTGATTAATAGTAGATATATACATGCAGTTTAAACAAAGGAAGACACACTTGGTATAAATGGGAATTTTAGAGTCCAACTTTGAGTTGGAAAAAAAAAAAGAGAAATTTTTTTAATTAACAGAACATCAGATCTCAAAAATATTTGTTGATAAAGAGATTCTGAGTAGTTTTTTTGACATGCGAGTTACCATATCAAAGAATTTTCAGACACTCAAAACAAAACAAAAAAGAATTGGTTTGGTATTATAACAATTACTTACTTGGTGTTGCAATCTCGTCAGCCCACGTATCCACAACAGACGAGCCTTGCTGTCCTTTGGTCCATCAGGTTCCACTATTGTCGCAAGGGGAAGTTCTTTTGTACCAAATCGACAAAGCTTTGGGAATGATGTCTTGGGAATTGTAAGGACAAGTTGTCCCCATAGCAACTCAGAAAATCCAAGGAAGACACACCAAAGCCATTCCTCCCAGCCCAGTCCTGTTACATGGAAGGCTTTACCAGTCAGCTCAATTATTAGAATCTGAAAAATCAACAAAGTCTGTTAAAACATTCTAAATCATATGAACTTAAACCAAATGGATGTTCAAAATATTGATTTTCAAATTAACCCTTGAACTCCCATGAGTGACCAAGACAGAATTTCTTCTCCCAATATCAATATAATATCAACCAGAAAAGTGATGAAAATAGAGAAAGATATCAATTTGGGGATAATTAATTGATCCAATACTAAATTCTCTGAACTAACATTATAAGAATTGTATGGTTGACAGTAAGGAGAATTACAAATTAGATCTAAGAGTCAAAGGGTTAATTAAGTTCAACAATCACTGTATCCAAAATAGAACAAAGAATTCATAGAACATTAATTTACATCCTTAATCACTCTTCAAAATAGACTAAAATTGAACAACTCAACTCTTGACCCTTACCTGCACTACAAATGTTCCTGCCATGATAATAAGAAACACTGGGTTATGGGTAATACCAGAGAACACATTTCTCTCTCCATGAACTTTACGTGAATTAATTTCATTAAAGAGTTGCATCATAACAAATGTATTAAAAACCATGCTAGAGTGAGCTGTTGGTTTACAGCGTGTTGTTTCCAAGTAACCGTCTTCTATATCAAATAAATCATCTGCCAGGAATACCAGGACAAACATGACAATCAGCTGGAATATTGAATGACCAAGAATGTTTCTAATCATTGTTCGTGAGATAAGTGGTTTGGTGCGTCCATAGGGTTTGCGTTGTAAGAGGTCTTCTGTTGGTGGCTCTGTAGCTAAGGCCAGTGATGCAAAGGAGTCCATAATTAGGTTCACCCAAAGAAGCTGTGTGCCAGTCAGAGGACTTACCTTTAAAAAAAAAAAAGAGAGACTAAATAGAAAGAACCTGAGAAGGAAGGTATTTTAAAAGCAAGCTTGCTGTTGATTAGTATGAACCTATGGAGACTTTCCATTGTCAAAGTTTACTTACACTTCTTCAACAAATTAAAAGTCCAAGTAGATGCTATTGAAGGTTTGACTCAAACTTGCTTGTGGATTTGTTTACGGTTTGTAGCATTTTTTAAAACAAATTTCAAGGACTCTGTGTGTGTAACATATAGTCACATGGCAGCCAAATAGAAGAGGAAAAATCAACTTGGAGACTCAAAGTAAAATAGCTACAGCAGTGCAACAAAATATTCCCATCTTTGATCAAGAATGGAGCAAAAAGAAGGGAAAACTAACTTGATGATTTTAGCGTATGTCTGACAATTATGGTTATGGTTATGGTTATAACCTGGCTAAAATTTCAGCCTTTGTTACCCCCCTTTCAGGTGTTTGCAGGATATTGGGGAAAGAGGTAAACCTGGTAGGGATGGTTGAGATTCTCATACCCAGTTATCTGCATCTCCCTTGAGAACACCTGAGACTATGATGCTGAATTGAGGACCAAAAGAGAAAAAAAACGGCTTGCACTTTGAGACTGGTGCTTTCCTAAGGACGCTCCAGTAATAAGGATAATTTTCTTATGTCACATATCTGTGCATTAACTCATTCCATTCTTGAAGCATTTGTTTTCTAATGAATAAAATGGGGTTTTAATGTTACTTCATACATGGTTTGTCACTGGCTAACTAATTAAATTAGCCCACATTAATGAGCACTCATACATGTACCTTACCTGAACAACACAAGCACCAATAAAGGCAACAACAATAGCAACCAAGTTCACAGTCAACTGAAACTGCAGAAACTTTGAGATGCTGTCATAGACATTGCGCCCCCACATAACAGCTTTAACAATGCTCCTAAAGTTATCATCAGTTAGAATGATGTCAGATGCCTCTTTAGCAACATCTGTTCCAGCAATACCCTAAAACATAGACAGGATCATGTTCAAGTTTGAACTGCTACCTGGACATCAAGAATAGTCACTATGTAAATAAGTAATGAAGTAGAGGAGTGACCCATGTAATTATGTAATGTTGTGTTAATATTAGTTAATATTGTGGTGTACAGTTTAGCTGAGTATTTTAATGATTTGTGCTGTACTTTGACAAGCTAGTGAGGCAAGCCAAAAGACAAACAATGAGTAAAAATAATATATAGCTTTAGCCAAGCCTAAAAGCAGAGCTCACATTTTTTTCCCCTACACATCCCAAGGGCACAACACCTTTCCCCAGCCAGGACTAGAACCCAGGTCTCCTGACTCAGAGCCCAGTGTACTGACCACTGGACTAAGCCATGGTGTTGGCATGCCCTCAGTACAGTTGACCACACACATTAAAAGTAGCACCTTGTATGGTCAGTCGTACGGTCGTACAGTCATAAGTCCAAATTTTTTCAGCTTGATGGGTTGCTACTACCATTTTTTATAATTATGGGGCTACGCTCTGTGAGCTCTGCTATTAAGCATTACTACACACCAAAAAGTCTAATAAGAAAAGCAGATAGAGAGCATAATATGTGCAGATGACCAGTTGAACAGGTTTTTCTACAATACAAAATAACTAATTGTTCAATATGGCAGGATATTTGTACTCTATCCACATGTCATTTGTACCTTACAATGTGCAAATTTATGGAGAATAATGCTAGTTTTGTAGTATTGTAATCCATATATCATTGATATCTGGCTCTTAGACTCTTAAAAATGCTGACTGTGTGATTTGAAAATATTATTCATACTTGGATGAAGTTTTAGTTTGCAATATCTGTAAGCCACTGTGATGTTTAAGAAATTCAGGAAATAGAAATCTTACCATGGCAAAGCCAACATCAGCTTTCTTCAGTGCTGGACCGTCATTGGTACCATCACCAGTCACAGCCACAATTTCCCGTGTTGGATTAAGCTTGCTGTCAATGATGCCCTTGACAAGAGTGTACTTGTCCTGGGGTGAGGATCGAGCTAATACACGTAAGTTGGGCCACACTTCATCAAACTTCTTCTGGCTAACCTGTACAGTAAAACATGTTCATATGTACAAGCTTTGTTTCAAAAACTTGGATGGCAGTAGACCTATTAGCATCATACATCATATATTGGTTGCACTGTCCAAGATGGGAAAAACAACAGTTGCAGACAAAAAAATTAACTGCAAAGCATAAGGAAAGGTTGACTATCACTGCAATTGTAACTGCTAAAATATTTGATTTGTATTTCCTTGTAAATGAAAAGGATCCTAAACTTCAGAAGTCAAGTAGCTATACTTCCTCAACTACTGGTTGCAAAAATTGCTTTACAATCTGCATGAGTAAATGGTCAGAAATATGACTTTGTTTTGCCTTGATTTTAAATTGTTCTGGTAGTTTTTCAGTTTCTTTTAAAAACAGATATGGACTTGTGAAACAACAAAGTTTTTCATCATGTCTTGGCCATTTTCATGATGAAAGACAGTGACATTTTCCTTTCTGATGTTAATAATGTACATATTTATAATAGTTGACAGATTCCTGACCACTTTATCCCCACCTTTTTTAATGCAAGAAATCATACATCTCTTTCTCTCCTGTACATTTCATGGAAATGAAAGATATATTGGATTTGTAAAATAAGCTGATGTTGGGTTTTCAAGAAAATCAATCCTTTTCCCATGTTACCTTGAGGAATTATCAGTTCATGTACACCATTTGTGACTTTCTGAAAGTTTTAATTAACTGGTGGAAAGGGTGGCTATGAGGGGGGTTAATATTTGCTTGTGAAATTGTTGCTTTAATGTGCCAACTATTTTGGTGTTTTTGTCTCAACCTGTCTACTGCTTTGTTTCTTTCCATGCACCTCCTTTAACATGTACAGAACCCCAGCATAACCTGAATATTAGACATAAGATTTATAAATCTCCTAAGGATAGCTTATCAGTTCCTTGTCGATATCTACTAGTTTGGATTATATAGGTTGTCTTGATTTATGAAATTTTGACAAAAATTTACAATTGCCTGTCATTTAGTAATTTGAGAGCCATGGCCAGCAGTCCACATCACAGAATTTCTAAGTATTCTGAGCCTACAAAAATCATGCAACTGACATGAGATTTATGAATTTCCTTGAGACTGGTTAGCAGTTTCTTATAAAAACATAATATTTTGGACTATATGGATTCTCTTGATTTTTGAAATTTTTTAAAAAATTTGCAACTGCAGGTCATCTAGTTATGTAGGAACCATAACCTGAAGTGGACCCCACATAATTTCTGAAGTGTCAATGTCCATGGCTCTGTATTCTGAAAAAGCATTTACCAAGTGTTCAAGATCAGATTAAAAATCTAAAAAGCATTCTGAGCCAACAAAAACCATGCAACTGACATGAGATTTATGAATTTCCCTGAGGTTGCTTAGCAGTTCCTTATTAAAACATAGTATTTTGGACTATATGGATTCTCTTGATTTCTGAATTTTTAAAAAAAATTTGCAACTGCTGATCATCTAGTTATTAAGGAACCATAACCTGAAGTGGACTTCACATAATTTCTGAAGTGTCAATGTCCATGGCTCTGTATTCTAAGAAAGCTTTAACCAAGTGTTTGACATTAGATTTAAAAATCCCCTCAAGATCACTTTGCAGTTCCTTATCATCATATGATAGTTTAGATTGTATAAGATCCCTTGATTTGTCAAATTTTCAGAAAAATTTCAGACTGCTGGTCATTTACCATATTTACCTGTGTATAAGTTGACCCCCAATTTCAAAGTCAAAAATCAGATTTTTCATCATTTCTTGTCAAAGAAGAAAAATTCAGATAGAAATTCCCAAAAAGTTAATCCCTTAATTCTGATAATGTACTGAAAACATGGAGAATTAAAAAAACTGCAGAGCAAAATGTAACCATGCACTATGAATTTTATTAGCACCTGTTTATATCACCACAATTTCAGCATACTTGAACACTTTGATTTACTGGAGAAGTAATTTACCATATTTTGTGAGTCACATTGAAAATGAAATCTTCCTGCATTTAACCAACCCTTATCTTAAAGTTGAGTTTGAAAGGAGATTACGTAGACTGAAGGAATACCTAAGAGCTTTGAAGGATCTCACGTAACAAACAAGACTGTCTGAGACAACAGCATTTGCCAGGTCACTAAGCTACTGAAATCGTTTGATGAAAACAAAAGTTCAGCTCCATAACTAGCAGTAAAGCAGTAAGGAAAGATGTCTGCTCTACAGTCTGAAGACACAATAGAAATTAGCTCCAGTAGCTTTGAATCAAGCCACTTAAAATTTATTATTTCAACCTTTTTTTGGTGACAAAGAATGTGCTGAAAAGTGACGAAACTCAAACACAATTGTAACTAGTTTTATAAACGTAGTTTTCCTAACAGACTTCAGACAATTGTTATGCTAATTTCTTGGATTGCTTGGGTCAGGTCTTTGTGTATGACTCATGTATAAGTTGAGGGTGATTGTTTGGGATGATTTTTTGGTCATAAAAGGTTAACTTATACACGAGTAAATATGTTAGTTGTTTGAAAAGTTTGACCAGCTCTTGGATATATGACCACTATAAGATGCTGTTTGAAGCAAATACTTGAGAAGAATTACGGTCAACTCGCCGACGGACCAACTCGCCGACGGACCAACTCGCCGACGGACCAACTCGCCGACGGACCAACTCGCCGACGGACCAACTCGCCGACGTATAAAATCGAGTAGAGACGTCGGCGAGTTGGTCGTCAATCCAATACAACTAATTACAAGTTAAACATACAGAAAATTAAACGATATTTAGTAAAAAAACACTGGTGAACATTGGTGAACATCAAACAGAAGCTTAACCATTGGTGAAGATTGGTGAACATCACCAATGACTATAACAGCTTAAGACGCGAACGAGATAAATTGTGCGACAACAACGCCGTAAAGACTCATCATGTCAATCGCTCAGATTTTTTAACGAAAACTTGGCTTTCTAGACAAGATCTTTACTAAAAAGCATTTCTTTTTATTTGCAACAAAGTTTATAAGGATCTCAAGGCGAATAAAGTAAAGTAACCATCACCAATTACTATATCCGCTTCAGACGCGAACGAGTTATTGTGTGACAACAACACAGTAAAGTCTCATCATGTCAATCGCTCAGATTTTTTAAGAAAACATGTTCACCAATGTTTAAGCTTCTGTTTGATGTTCACCAATGTTCACCAGTGTTTTTTTACTAAATATCGTTTACTTTTCTGTATGTTTAACTTCTAATGAGTTGTATTGGATTGACGACCAACTCGCTGACATCTCTACTCGATTTTATACATCGGCGAGTTGGCGTCGGCGAGTTGGTCCGTCGGCGAGTTGGTCCGTCGGCGAGTTGACTGGTTACCCTTGAGAAGCCATTTTGAATTCTTGTTCACCATAGAAACCAATAGAAACAAAATTACAAGGTACATATTTGTACAGCTGCCCACCTTTCCTGAAGAGTCACGGATGAGTTTGTTGAACTCCTTGCCTTCCAGTACAAGAAATTCACTGTTAGGTTGCAGGATGCCACATTTGAAAGCAATGGATCTGGCAGTGTTTACATTATCACCTGTAACCATGCGCACAACAATTCCTGCACGCTGGCATTTTAAAATTGCATCTGGTACCTGAAAATATTCCACAATGGGTCAGTTTCTCTGGAGGTTACATGCTAAAAGAACCAGGAACTTAATAAAAACTACAGTAGTGATGAAAAAAGATTTCACAATAGCAAAACATTCCAAACAAAATTAAGTACACTACCATGCAACAAAATTTGTGCAAATGTAATAAAGTGAAATTATCCATATAATCAAAGACCACAATTAACATAGAAAACCTAGCAAAAACGATAAAGGAACCAAAACAAAGTAAATTTTAAAGCCTGTGGTAAATACTTATGAATATGACACTTAGGTAGCACCTAAAATCTACCTTCTTCAGTGTTCAAGTTATAAGAAGACAACACAAAACTCCAAACTCTGAACACTTGCCTTCCTTTTTCACCTTTAGTCTTAACAAGATGTTAGCATGTTGTATAATTTACCTCAGGTCGCACAGGATCTTCAATTCCAACAACTCCAATGCATGTCATGTTAGACAACACTTCACCTTCATTTTCCCAGTCTGGCTCTATTTCTGCACTAGCTTCTCCAACTAAACAACACATTAAAATGCAGTGAGTCTCACATTATTAGAAAGGCCACTTCAATATTTCTGGGTAATGAATTGATGTTATGATTTGTGTATGTGGAGTAGATCAGGAACAAACGAGTCAAAAAAAAATCCTAAATTTAGACTAAAAAATGAATGACTGCTGCTGAATGCACCCTAAATGCAGCTTACTTTGTTCCAAATTTCAAACATCCTTCAATAAAATTATGTCACCTAAGGTACTACATTTAGTCTGGTTTGCAACAAGTCATTATATCCTTGTTAATCTCAACCAGTCCAAGGAGTATTAGAAAGCTTATGTTGAACCCTTTCACTTGCCTTCATTTCCAGGTCTCATGAGTAACTCTCCTCATGGTCTGCCATACAAATCTTATAATGTCATCTCAAAAAACTTGGTATTGGATCAACTAATAATTCCTTATTGATAATTCTCTTTCTTCTTATCACTTGTCTGTTTAATTTTGTATTAATATTGTCAGGAGAAATTCTTTCCTGGTCACATAAATGTTAAAGGGTTAATTCATATGCATTGTGATTAGGATAAGATTGTTGTGAACCAAGTTTTCATAACTCAATATTTTCCAACCTTTCTCAGGAGGAACTCCATTGGCTGGGAAATCTCTGTAAGCCAGGGTGATGGTCCTCAAACCATCAGAGGCCATTGGCTCAATTACATCTTTCACCATCTTTTCAGTATCAGCAGCTGTAAAGGGTTTGATTTCACCATCTTTACAAATGACAGATGTACAGCGACTCAACATTATCTCAGATGCACCCTTGGAATATATTCGAAATCCTCCACCAGGGAGACGTACAGCTGTTGTCATGGATTTCCTTGCAGAGTTAAAAGTGTAGACCTTGACAAAACTAGACTCTGGGTTATTATCTCGGTAATCTTGATAAGTTTCACCAATTTCAAGCACAAAGCCAAGCAATGCACATTCAGTTTTATTTCCAACTTGTGTTGGGAGACCATCAGGAAGTTCTGAAGGCTAAAACCAGAGATAAAAAATTCAATTCACTGCAAAAGAATAAAATCCTAGGCAAAATCAACATCTCTTTTCTTGGGAAAAAAAAAGAACAAAAACATTGTCTTAACTTCAATTGCAATGGTAATGCCAGCAGCTGGCCACTGATGAATACTTTCAAGTTAGACTTTGCTTTATGTCACAGATATAGACGCAATGTTTCCAAACAAATTATCATGGCAACAAATCCAACAAAATTTTGCCAGAAACTGGTACTAAAAAAGAGCCCTGTTTATGGACACCATAACATGATCAGTCTAAAAACCAGTCCAACAAGTAAAAATGGAACTTGCCTCAGCCCATTATGTCATCACCTTTTTTAATATCAAAATCTTCTACAAATTGTTCAGCATTTTCTTAACAGTGCTTTCCTTACCACTTTATTTTGAAAATACACTACAGAATTCAGATTGCTCAACACTAACTTTTGTTAAAGGCCTCAATTTTGCATATTGCAAAAAAAAAAAAAAGTTTTTTGAATAGCAAGTTTTGTGATTGCCCATTTGATCTCAGCTTCTTTCTACAAAGTATTCTAGTTTGAGAGCTTTCATAAAACTTCATGAATAATAGTAACAATAATAATGAAAATGAAAGGTGTCAGACACACCAGCATCAAAATAAAAGAAATTGTATACAATTTTGTTCACTTTGCAAACATATATTATTTATGACAAAAACAGACAAGTGCCTGTGATTTTTGTACAAGGAGATTATTGGACAACTTATAACAAAATAATAAAAATTTACAGGCCACCAAACAAGTGCTATTTCACTAAATCATCATAGCTATGATTTATAAAAAAACTAATTTAAATTTCTTTTACATAACACTAAAAAAAAGAGATACAATAACCATTCCATTTGCATGATGACAATTCAAATGCACGAAAAAAGTCCAAAACATTTAATAAACATATCATCTCTGCAAATGACAAGAAAGCCTGCCATAAAAGGAAAGTATATGGGCAGAAAACATCTGTTTTTCCTTCCTTGAGGAAAGAGGGTTAATTAGTTACACTAGGAAATGGTTTTTGAGGTTTACCATCTGTTCCAGGATTTATCTTGAAAATATAACACAATTCCAAAAAAAATAATAGCAAATTTTATTTAACCTAAGGAAATAAAATAAGCCCACTTTTTCATGGTTCAAATTTCTGTTTACCAGTTTATCATCTGTCCCAGGATTTAACTAAAAAATAAAACACAGTTCCAAACAAATAATGGCAAATTGTATTAAACTTGAAGAAATAAAACAAGCCCACTATTTCATGGTTCAAAGTAAAACTTTCTGTTTACTAGTAAAAAACTATTGGAAAATAGTGTATTTCAAACAGATTTCTCTATTGTTTTTTTTCCCCCATCTTGTGCAAAGGTTGGTGAAATTAACACCTCAGAGATACTGCTATTTTCACTGGGCAAGATGCATAAGGCAACTGACCTTGGCAATACTTCTTGTTTACCTTGTTTTGAAAAATTATTGATGATTAATTTTTCTGTATTTATAGATCAAATTTTAGTCAAAATTACTGGAGCCAAATCTAATATCAGCAGATAACAACTTCAACTGTCTGTAGACATACAATTGGATACTGATGATTTTAGCAGATGTTGCTCTCATTTCTTTTGGTACTTAAATTGAAATTCATCCAAATGATTTTGTGGTTATCTGCCAAAAAAAAAAAAAAAAAAGAAAAAAAAACCTTACACATACTTTTCTGGTTCACCTTCAAAAATTTTGAAACCACGTATTTTCTAGGGAGGCTTTTTATGTATTCATGCACATATATGACTTTTTCAAAAGGAAAATGTCAAATTCATTCACAAGCTTTAACTTGGAGAAAGTAATAATTCAGTATCATTTGGAAATGATTACTGTTATGCTTGTAAAGCTACTAATATAATTCAAGAAGGGATTACTATTGACATTGAAGGGAAAGCCAAAAGGGACAACAGGAAACCAAGCTCAAGAGCTACACAAGGGAACTGATGTTGTTAGCCAAAATATATGTTCTGTTTGTGATATTAAGATGCAAATGTTATTAATCAATATCAATTACAGAATAAACTTGATAAATTGGATGGAAAACTATTGAGAGATACATATCATCTTTTGATTTGGCTTTCATTAGCACTGAGTTATATCCAAAGCCTTTCTATACTAAAACATCGACCAGTCCACTCCCACCCTCCCAACCTCCAAAAGAGAACTCAACAACAGCAATAAATTTCAAACCGACTTTTCCTTCAACAATGTTAACTGTCATGACATGAAAACCTTAATCAGATTTTTGTAGATAGTCTTGTGAACTGTCTGCAATGTGTTCTTCATTATTTGTGAGTACAGACGCACCCTATATATAATAGCTAAACCAACCACACTATTACATGACACATTTCTTTGTTTTGTGATTATTCATTGATGAATCATCTTGTGTAAACATAGATGACTTTTTTTGACCTCTTTTGCCCTTTATTGTCACAACTGACATATACAAATCTACAAACAAACAACTGGACATAGAATGTTTACTCACCAGTATGTTGGAAGCGTAGCTACTGTTTATCGCAATTCCTTTACAGAGCAACTCAACCAGTGTCTGTGGCAGCTGTCCTTGTTTTGGCACTTCTTTGTTATGATTGTCTGCTAGATAACTCTGAACTACAGTCATGCGATTTGTGGTTAGAGTTCCTGTCTTGTCAGAACAGATGGCTGTTGCATTTCCCATGGTTTCACAGGCATCAAGATGTCTGACTAAATTATTGTCATCCAACATTTTCTTAACAGAGTATGCCAAAGAAATTGTAACAGCCAGTGGCAGACCCTCAGGTACAGCTACAACTAACACTGTCAGACCAGTAATAAAGGCATTGACGTAAGCATTTAAGTGCTCACTTTGCCAAGAAGCTTTCTCGTTGACATACTTTCTGATGCTGAACTGCAAGACCATGACAATAATTGTTAGGAGGGCAGCAGCCACACCAAGCCAACCAATACTGACTGCCAGTTTTGTTAACTTTCCTTGAAGGATGGACTTCTCATCCTTGTCTTTCTTCTCCTTTCCATTTGAATCAGAATCTTTCTCCTCATCCAAGTTGATATCCTCAAAGTCATCCTTACTGGCTTTAATGGATGGTGACTGTGGTGCTTCTTCACCCTTCCCATCTGGCTTTTCTTCTCCTTTATCACCATGTGTTCCAAGCAAAGAAAAGATTATTCCTGTCTGTGAATTCACTCCCACAGCACAAACCACCATCTTGCCACTTCCCTCCATAATGTGGGTTCCAGCAAGTAGCAGTGGGTCTCTCTCTAGTCCTTTCTTAACAAGATCTGATTCTCCTGTCAGAGAGCTCTCATCAACTTTCAAGTCATTACACTGAACAACAACACCATCAGCTGGCAATAAATCACCATATTTGACCTGGCAAAGGTCACCCACCACTATTTCGCTGTTCAGTACTTCAATAGGTTCTCCATGCCTCACAACTGTAAATTTGTGTTCGCTCTCGATTTTATTCTGCAAGCCTCGAAACTGCTGCTCCTTTTGATAATCGTTCACCGCAGTCACTAATGCCACTATTATCACTGCAACAATAATAGCAAAGCCATCGATCCAGCCAGTGTTGTCTTCCGACCCCTCGCACTCCTCTGGCGCAAAAATTCCTAACATTAGGGATACGACCGCTGCAACGGTCAGAATTATAAGGATGATATCCTTGAAAGCATCAATAAGAAACTGGAGAAAGGTTTTGGGAGGTTTTGGTGGAATGAAATTACAACCGAACACTGCCTTGCGATTTTCAAGGTCTTCGGGAAATCCACCAATTCCTCTCTCAGAAGAAGTGTGCAGCTTGTGGACAAGCTTCTGCACGCCTCCAAAGTTTGAATTTAAGTAATCTCTTGCTTCTTGTCCCCTGTGTTCCATCAGCAAGGTAAGATCTCTGATAGAAAGATCTGAAAAATCGGCGACTGCATTGAAATCCAGCGAGTCGAGCGAACGCAAGGACTGCTGCTCTTCCTTTTTAATAGAAGGTTCTGCCATGATTAATCCTAGTTTACAAAATGTAAAGTTATATTTATGTTAAAAATCTTACGCAGCTCTCGAATCGAAGCCTCGTGGGATATACCTTTAATTAAACTCACAATGGAGAGTTCGATGGTTCCACCTCACTGTTCAAAAACACTGCAAAACTCTTTTGTCCTTGAGATTTAGGACAAGCCAGAAGATCAGTTTGTCAGCGACCACAGTTACGCCAACAGATACTTTCCAGTTTGGAGGGTAGAAACCGAAACTTTTCTTCACAAGTTTCTTCTCAAACAAATGGACAGAAGGATGCCAGATTCCTGGGCTGTGTGTCACTGCTCTTACCGAAACAAATAAACACGATTTTGTCTACTGCAGGTCTGCTTACTTCCTTGCTCTCTACTACCAACTTCACATTATTCCAGAAGAGAACTTTTAGTTTTGACAACTCCTCAGGTCGACTGAGAAACAATCTTTCACAAGCAAGCAGCTTCTAACAATAACAGAATGGAAGACACCAGCCCAATAGACAGACTCGGGCACGCCAGGTCTTGTACCGGGAAATTAACAATAGAAAACTCTCCAAGGCAGATTCAGGCCGTAATATCGATGTGCTTGTCAAGGTGAACCAGATCGCCCCTTTGACTCTGTACCAAAGAACAAACACAGGTAATTCAAGAAAACAATCCAGTTCACTCCTTTCTTGAAAAGCTTCCTATTAACGAAGCAAGGTAAAATTTTGCCCTGAGGCACGTGATGAACAGCTTGTGATTGGCTATTTTGAATCCTCTTGACATTTGATTGGTCGATGGTCGCTATGTTACAAGGACGTCATTCGCCGGTGAGCCACAGATTTGCCGCGCCCTCCAAATGGTGGCTTGATCACTGTGGCTTTTGCATGCAGCACCGCGTCATACTTCGGCGAAAATATTCTTCTGAAATGGCGAATAGCTTTGCAATAAACGAAGACACAGTCATATTTCATCTATGAGAAAGGTTGGTTAGGTGCTTATGAAAATGGAATGAAGGTGCAATTCTTATTTCTCATGTGAGGTTAAAGGAAACAGCTTTTTGGGGGCATACATAGAATTTCCCTGGCTATAATGATAAGTGTAAAAATTAAATTACATGATTTTAGTGGGAGTGTTTGGGCTGTCCGAGAAAAAATTTGCATATCGAAAAATAAATTCGGTGGTTTTCATTTTTGAGAAAATAATTAGATCTGACGAAAGATGATACAAGACGATTCCACTTTAAAATGGTATTTGTATGGAGATGTTTCCGAGAGAGAGAGAGACAGAGACAGAGAAAGAAAGACAGAGAGACACAGAGCGAGAGAAAAAGTTAATATTACAAGGGATAAGATTTCCTAAAATAACGATGATTGTCACCCCAATAGTGTTCCTAAGATAAGCTGTTAAAAAATCTATCATAACATTTATTTATATTTTCTTTGAGTATTTTTTTCAGGTCAGAGGAAGTAGGTGCAATTATGATTGCGAATATAAGATTTATGGAAAAGCTTTGATTTGCACTACAGAGGTGTTCCAAGAATTCTCTGAATGGCTGACTGGAAATATACCATTGTAATTGATCCGTTGCCGTTTTCTGATGAATAATTTATTTTGTATTATTAGTTTGAACTTGAATTTCTACAAGACATGCTGTGATTTTCCCACTTCTTTAATTTGCCCTTGCAAAAGGGACATTATTGAATTTGATTGTCTTATCTTTCGGGTCATTATTCGTTATTGTCTGTCGAAGAATACATCTATCGATCCGATGTAAATCAAATTTTATTATTTCAAATCAGGTGCGGGCTGACCGCCTAATTCGCTCCTCATTAATACGGTTATATCTGGTCAGCGGTGGAAATCTTTCTAGAGGAGAGAAAAGATGGCAGGTGAAAAGCTTGTGTTCAAGGAGGTTCTTCCAAAACAAGGACTCCTCTTCACTGAACAGACGCCAATGCCGGTTCTTTGCAAACCCAAGATAATGCCAATGAAGTCAGTGACGCTTGAAAAGCTGGAAACCATGCAGAAAGACGCCCAAGAAGCTGTGAAGCGCCAGGAGCAGGAACAGAAGTTACATGGTGGATTTACCTAGCAACGTCAAGGCCAAACAAAGATTAAGGTTTTGTGGTCTTTGTCCATAGCAGAGCTGCTTGACGATCCAGTACTGACTTAGTTCTGTACGTGACTAAAATTTTCTTCATCCAATATCAAAATAAAACAACTAGAGGACAAGCAGAGCTATTTTTGGTTTCGTTGGTTTGTCTACAAACATATTTAGGAATAACAGTTACAGGTTAACAAATGACAGGGCGTCTTAAAGTGTTCACGTGGGATTTAAAGGTACCGTGGATGGTTGCAACGGGAAGATTGAATAAATTTGGGTATGTAATGGAATAGGCGTGTTTTGTATCAGGCAGTTTTGCTTTGATGAGTGATTTTACCCAGATTGTACAAGTCAGAAACTTCTCCTCTGTTGTTAAGACGTACAATCCAACATTAGAATGAAGCGATCGAGATCATAAAAATTTATGCATGACTGTTGGTGCAAGGGATATGACAAAAAATTTGAGAGTCGAAGTATGAAACAAAAAAGTATTCTAGGTTTGTATGGTATATTTATTCAACCATCACTAGTAAATATTTACAAATAAATGAATTCCATTGGACCAGGTTCTTGTCTCTCTAGACCTTAAATCTACTGTGGACTGCTGGGGTAAAGTTCTGCTTTTGGTTCATACAAATGAATCTATCTACCAGTCTTCTTTGTAACAAAGAACAAAGGAAGAGCACCAATGTCACATTGCCATTCCAAACAAATGGGACAAATAGTATCGTTCTATTAGGAATTTAACTGCCTGACACTATGAAACCCAATGTGCAACAGTCACTCAGAGCTTGCACCAATCTGATGGGTGGAATGACGAGACAAATATTTGACTTCATTGAGCAACAAGAAACAATGCTACTTATGCCTGTATTATCCAATTTGTAACTCATCTCACACAAACATCATTTTTCCCTTGCTTATATCCCCTACCTCAACTTGTATATGCCCACTATTGTTCCTTATAGAAAATCTCATTCACCTGCACATCTTTTTGTCAAAGTATTGATCTTGTGATAATACTAAAGGGATTATTTTCCATTGATGTGAGTCATATCTATGTTTGAATGCACCACTGATTTTCAAAAACTAAAAGCATCAAATACCATGAGGATTTCACATGATCTGGAAAAAGTAATTAGCATACAGCCAAAAATATGTGGGTAGAAGGAAGCTACACAGATGAAATAAATAGCTGTCAATATATCTTTTTTTTTTAATTTGACAGGAGTGAAATAATACATGACCATAAGAATGCAAATGGTTGCATCACATTGTTTTAAACATAGTCTTACAAACTCCCAGAATTCAACTTGAAAATTCTAGCTATCCTATCCACCTCTGAATGGGAGATTGGGGGCCTTTCATCTTTTTTGTCTTTATAATATTGTTTCCTTTTTGCAAATTTCTCAGTCAGGTTTTCTTTTGTGCATTGGTTGTTTCCTGTATGTTGTGAATAAGCTAACAGCTTGGAATGTGAAGATGTGTTCGAGGCTCCCAGTCTAAGTGCCCTCATAGACTCCTCTAGTTGTTCTGAAGGCATGAAGAAATTTGGCAACATAGCACTTGTCTGGCAGTGAGACAGAGGGTATCTAGGTAATGAATCTTGTATTACCATTTTGTTTGGAGTTAAACTGTTATTAGAAGCATGTTCAATTGAAAAGGTTTCCTTAATGTTATCATGATTAGATGTAATTTTTCTGCCTGCTGCAGAAATATCACCTGATTCAATACTGGTTAATCTAGTGAAATCTTCACCACTATCATTACTCTTAATGCTGTCATCAACTGACTGTTTTCTTTCAGCTTCACTTGACATCACATCAACATCCATGTTTTGTTCATCCCTATCACCAAAAATACTGGAATGATCATCATTCCGGTCACTCACTTTATTTTCTGTCTTTTGAAAGTTTGTAACAGTAATTCTCTCCAGTTCACCAGCTGTATGTCTGTTACTTTTTAATCCAGAAGGTACATTTAACATGCCAGGCTTTTCAGCCTGGCTCAAACCTGAGTTTTCTTCTTCTTCACTGCTGAGCCAGCTGTCTTTCAAATCAGCAAACCTTGTGTCATTAGTGTTGTCCTGAACATACCCACTAACTGAAAAGTCTCCTGAAATATCAGTGAGGGAAGGTTCCCTTTTCAAAGGTGGCCAGCAATCTATGGCAACAGATAACTGGTTCTCCTCATCAGGTAAACTGTCCAAAACTGAAGTATGTTCTAGACATTCCTCTCTACATTTTGCAGAAGGTTCTTGAAGTTCACAATAGTTAGGTATTGTTGCCCCACTATCCAGCACATTATCTACAGTTCTTAGAGCAGTTTTTTCATTATCAACAAAGCTACTGCTTTGTTTCAATTCTGGGGTCAGTTTTGGAGAGGGCAGTATGTAACCTTCAATTCTGACTTGAGTCGTGTGTTTGCCATTCAACCCCATATGTTCATCACAATTCTCTTTAAATACAGCTTCAGCCAACTTTCCTTCCAAGACATTACCACTGCCAGTCATGTTTTCAGTTCTCAATGTTCTTGAAGATTCTAAAGGAAAACTTACTGTTTCATCTCCACCAGAAAAAAGGCACTGTGGGTGGAGAGTGGCCCACAAATCTTCCCGATTGTGGCTGTCATCATCACTGACAGGATTTGATCTTAATTTGACAGTTAAATTTTGCTGAAGAATGTCTAGTTCCTTCATATTATGCCTAAAAACAAAAGATTGATCAATGAACAGAGCAGTAAAATCAAGATTGCAAAACAATAAAACACCATTCATACTTAATTCATGTCTTCAGAGGTACATGGAGAGAATTACATAAATTATATCAATGCGAGAAGATAACTCTGTATCTATTAGTATTACATAGCTTTACGAAGTTCTACCACAGAAACTTTGTAAGCCCAACGGAAAGTAAAAGTTACTGTAAGAACATAACAGATCTACATTGTAATTTTTACAAACCTTAGTTGAGAAAAGAGTAGAGATGAAGAACAACTTGAGACTGCTTCTGTTTCTCCATCTGTTGTCATCCTAAAGCCTTCATTTTCAGAACATCCTTGCAACTGACTTGACAGAGGATTACCTCCCTGAGTTTGATAATTAAAACCATTTGCTCTGTGACTCTTTGGCACAGGTGTGATAAAGGTTGCCTACGGTACATAGATGACATAAATAACTGAGTGTGGGTTGTCATGAATTAGACTTAAAGTAGTTATTCATAGATAGTATTGCTTGACCTCTTTGAAAATACTTTAAAATTGTCATACAAGGGAATTTCCAGAACAACAACAACAACAACAAAACCAAACAAAAATAACAAACCTCCAAATGGGAAAACTACACCCTAATTCTTGTTGAGTGAGAGTAAAAGGGTCCACATGTAAACAAGTGACAAATTAGTGACACATGATATCTCCATAGCCACTTTTAAGGAAGTATTTAGATATGAAGTTTAAATTAAGTACAGTTTGTGACAGTACCTCCCTTCCCCCATTCAATGTTGTACAATCAAAGAAAACAAAGTGCAACATTGCACAGAAGAAAATCAAGAGGAAGTGAGACAAAAGGTGTTAGAAATAACATTGATCAATGCCATTTCAGAATAGTGAGATTTTAATTGTAGTGTGTTGACCAATTTTTCACTGACTTAAGTCTTGGACAACACATGTTATTACAATAATCAGAAATTTCTTCTTACATCTTGCTTTGGTAGTTGGCTGTGTGTTTTTCTTGAACTTGTGAAACTTCTTGGGGGAGAGAGAGGATTCACAGGAGAAATGCCAACCTGGAAACCACATAGATACACAAATATTTCTGGTCACTGGAGTGAAAATAAACCATAAGAACACTTTCACTAACACTGATTAAAATATTTTTGCAGTGTAATATCACATAAGTTAAATAATTAGTGACAAAAAAGTTACTTTGTGGACTGAGTAATTAAGAAAGCTCAGAAAATAACTATATCTCAGTCCATTAAACTTAAACAATCAAAACTGTACATGTTGTGTTAAGTGATTCAGGCATTTGCTCTTTCTCTGAAAAGGGGGAGGCCAGTTAATTATTGTTTACATAGGGAGGAGTACGTATTCTAACTTTTGTGTTTATTTGAAGCAATAAAAAAATTGCTGAACTCAAAATGGACGATGTTTACAAATAATAGCCGAGAAAGGGAGACTTTTCAATAACATGCTACATGTCTTCAAGAGGTTTTCAATCAAAGTAAATACATGAATATGTTTCCCTATAATGGTGTTAGTCATTTACCTTAATCTGTCCTTGACAGTCTCCATTGAAATCATTAACATTGTACCAGCCAATGAGCTGTCGCATACCAGCTAACAGTGGTGATAAGTCACATGACACAGACCCAATCAAACGGTCCTCACCAGAACTGTCTATCTTAGGTTCAAAAGACTCTGATTCTTTACTGTCTAGACCTGTGGAAAATAGATTAGAAATGATGTTTAAAATCTCTTTTTTTCTCTTGATCATTATACTACACAATTCAGAAACTCCCCCTCCAAGCAAATGAATCGTTTTCTTAAAGTTGCCTCTTACATCAGGGTTCACTCCCTTTTTCAGGAAAAATCTGAAGGACTTTTCCAGGACTCTTCCAGAATTCAGATTGATTTTTCCAGGACTACAAATTTCACCATAAATCCTTTCATCACCAAGATTTTAAAATCAATTCTCCTTACATACGGTCTACATACATTTCTTATAACATAAATTCTGACCCATTTATTGCTCTCAAGTAGATTTCCAGGACTTTCCAGTCCTGAAAAATGTCAAAATAAAATTCCCAGACTTCCAGGTTTTCTAGGACTTGTTTTTTTCTAGGACCCTGTTACATATGACTTTAAAATCTTTGACCATGGACTGAGAACAACAGAAAGACTGTTGGCTCCTCAGGTGAATGATTAAATCTCATATCTCTCTATATTCTACTATTCATTTACCTTTCTGAGCTTCTGAGGTATGCCACACCTTGAACTGAAAATCCTAAACATATCCAAAACAAAGATTTCAAGACACAAAATTTAATGTGCCAAAATGTCACTTAATGTGTATAGCAAAGTATGTAAACAAGACTGACTCACACAGCAACCAAAGCCTATCCTCATTTGTACAGTATTAACCATCTGTATAGTGCCTTGACAAATCTCTTTACTCTCCTGAGTGAGGAGAGGCATGTTGAGAGCCCAGTGTCTCGCACAACACAATTACCCTAAACAGGGAAATATAACCCCCACAAAAATCCCATTTTTCATAAAGATCCCCTCTGAATGTTAAAGGTGAACCCTTCTCAAACAGTAAATAAAAACAGACTAGCAAAATAATTTTTAAAAAAAAAACAGCAACAGGGCTTTACCTGTAATTTAATTGAAGAGTAAGTGATTCTCTCCAGTTTCTGATACTCCCATCTTGGACTGGATGAACACACAACAACTGGTGTGGAAGCTGGGGATATTGATGATAGCGTCTGATAAGACACGTACACATTGGGCATTACTCTGGAGACAAAGGAAGCAACATGTAAGACTTCAAAAAATGACATCTGCTATAGGCAATTTTACATCTAGTCCTCTGTAAGGTGGCTTCCTACAAATCAGAAAATAACAGTGACTGCTTTTAACACTTCAGAATAGTAAAACGCAATTACTATGCCATAGCAGAAATATTCTTACGTGTAAGACCATGCTGGGCATATTGCAAGATTGCAACAGCCTATAATTGATGTAGAGTTGCTTGTTAACAAGAAAATTGTTTTTCCATTGTAACCAACTGATACCTGTTATCACTGGTTCCAGGAACAGTAGGGAGGTGTAGCGCTTGTTCAATTATGACATGGGCCATGAATGTCTCATCACTAGTTTCAGTGACTGTCAGCTGTCTGTTGGATTGTTGCTGCACCATTGGTTCAACTGATGACACCTGGTCCTGATAGGGAATTTTTGTCCTGCTATCTGTAGTTTGATCCTCATGAAGAGAACTAGCATCGATGGATTCAGCAGAGCTTAAAGGCTATACAAGATCAACCAAGTAAATAATAATTAGAAAATATTTTACAAAAGTTAACATTCCAACTAGCACTCGGTAATACTTCTTCCAACATTTCATTTGATTTTATTGGACACACCACATACTCCTTTAACCATTAGGTTGTTTGCATTTTTCTGAAAAAAGAAAAACTAAGAAAAACTGAGAAAAACTGTCTTTGTATAATACTTACATCATCTAAAAACTAAGAAAAACTGTGTTTGTATAATACCTACATCATCCAAAAACTAATGATCAACTGATGCAGGCATTACTGGCATTTTAAGATGCATGCCTCCCACCACTGTGACCTAAGTTCAATTCCCAGACCCGGTTTCACATGTGGGTAAAGTTTGTTGTTGGTTCTTGTCCTTGCACTAAGGGTTTGTCTCAGGTTCCTTAAGTTTTCCTCCCTCCACAAAAAACCAACATTCCAAATCCAACTCCATCTGGAAAAAGTGAATAAGAGGAGCCACCTGCTGGAATGTCTAGTGCTATGTTCCCATTCCCATTTCCCATTGCATTTTGATAAAAAAATCAGTGTGAAATTTAAGCATAGACAGTTTTGAAAACATGCTACAGCTTTATATGAAACATAATTTACATTTGGCTTTGAAAGCATTGCCTCTCCTATAATAAGATGCACATAAATAGCTGTTTATAAAGACCAGAGTTGACAGGGTGCCATGCTATTTTCAAAAATTAATACAAAAATTAAAATTTGTGTTTATTAACAAAACTTACTGAGTGTCAAAGTGTTGAAGACTTACCTCATGATCACTGATATCTCCAACCTTAACAAATGACTGAACATGGATACATCCACCAAACAGATTACTTGCCCCAGATCTGAACAGTGGGTACAAGCCACTGGAGAACAATTATATGATTTAATAATCACAAGGAAAAGAGGTTGTCTTATTGAAAGAAATTTTGTGTAAACGAATAGTTAGAGCAAAAAGGAAATGTACAACCTTAACACAGACAATGAGGAAAAAATGCAGAATCTTGGTAGAAGTGAAAATTCTCACCCTATTTGCCTATGTTTCCTTTGGTTGGTGGCAAGTAAAGATGACATGTCTACATAAGCTGATCCAACCAATCTATCCCTCTTTTTAGAGTTTGTGTCTGCAGTTTGCCTCCCAATGCTAAGCCATAGCTGGATCTCCAAAGACTCTTCCCTCATGTGCCAACTAAAAGAGTGTGACGCTGGTAGTAATATTTCTTTAGAGTGTTTCAGCTCACATATTAATTTACCATCACCACAATCTTTCACAGAGGACATTCTAGAGAATATGGGAGCTGTAATGAATAAAAATTAGAATAATCTTAGCCTTTTAAAAGAGACAATAAACTGAAAAAGGCTACTATGTTTTCTTTCCTCGATTTGTCAACATGGAAAAGTCTGAGTGACAGCCATTCCTAGGAGTTTTTGCATTTAAAAAAAAGTGTGTGCTAAGTATTCTTTTGAAAGACTCCAACCATTACATCCTAAACATGTTGCAGTAGAAACCATTTATCCCAATGGAACACAACTGTGAAGTGTTTAACACCTCCCTGGTGCATATTATGCAGTTACCTTTATTGTGGAGTTTATATCTGGCATAACCTTTCATCTTAGGCTTATCTGTATTCTTTTCTGAAGCACTAAAGGGTTTTAATTCTGATAAAGGAATCCATGCTGAGCTGATTTTTAAACAAAACATCCAGTGCTCATTCACAGAAGGCTCTTCTCTGTCCAACCAGACTTCATTACAATCTACCTCAGGTGGTGGAGACCAGCCAAGTCCTCTCGATATATGAATGATGTGGTCCCTATCCTCTGTTTTGGAGAAAGAAATACCAAGTTCCAACCCTCCAACAACCTTGTTGATCTCATTATGTGGTGAGGCATCATGTGTGTCCTGTTCCCCTGGCAAGTGTATCGGGAACCATCCTTTCACACCTAATTAAAAAAATTACCTTTAACTAGCAGAGGCACTCACATTAATTAAGAAAAGAAAAGGAACAAGAAAAGGAACAAGAAAAGGAACAAGAAAAGGAACAAGAAAAGGAACAAGAAAAGGAACAAGAAAAGGAACAAGAAAAGGGGCAGTAATAGCTATGCTGAACAGAACTTCCTTGAAACTGCTGATGTGTCTCTTCTGGGTGTTACCAGAACATCAAGATCACTTGTGTTTATTAATAATTGTATAAATGTGAGCACATTTGCTCACTCTAAGAATTGTTCTTATAATTTGAGAGGCTAAAGAACAAAAATTGAAAGAGTCTGACCAACTTGGAATGAAACAAACTCTATATAATACTATGTTGTTGACCACTCACCTGTACTTACTAGAGTTAATAACAGCTTGTGTTTAACCAAGAGTAAATTATCTGCAAAACTGTAAGTTATTCCCAAGCTAAAGCAGTCTCTTTATTACTCCTGAACCAAAATTAATTATCAACTTCCCCCAATAAAATTGTCTGCAAACCTGTGTTGTAAGCAAGAAGTTTTACAAGTGGTACTCTAGCCACTCCAAGTAATACATCCCTCTGACTTCCAAAGTTTTTCTCTGTTTCTGATGCACCCAGATGGTCACTCCTCCTCTCTCGTGACATTTGATGCCTGATTGTTAATTTAAAGTGGCACAAAAAATTTTATGGAGAATTCAAAGTACACTTGGTCAAAAATACATCTAGTGTCTAACTGTTGTAAATCAAAAACATTATCATCATCCCTCTCCCCATTTCACTATGACATTCCCAGGATGTACAAAATAGACGGCTTTTAAATTACATGTGGAACAAGTTCCTGATTAAAGCTCTTCAATTTCATCAAATTCCTAACAAAGCTATTTTTCATTTTAACAAATGAAAATGGTTAACTTTCCCATATCTCCATGTCTGTGGTGGTATTTCAAAACTTCAGATCAGTGCCCAGTCTATGCTATGTGGTTTCCAAATAGTTTATCATGTGTAATTTCAAAAGCCAATGTTAAGTTTGGAACCTCTGTGAAACTTACCAAACTTCAAACATCACTTCAGAATCTTCAAGTTGTTCAGCTAAACTCAAATTTCCTCTGCCATTTACACCAGATGGTGTAAGTAATAGCAACAGGATGTCTGCATTATATGAAAACTCAGGGCTGAATGTCCGTGCCACAGTCCTTGTTACATATTTGTGCTTCTTTCCAAGTGGGAACTGGATTACTAAGTAAGCATTCACACCAACCTCTGCAGGGTATGACAGGCTGGGGTTGGATTTGGCATGAAGAACTGCTGCTGCCTACAACCAAAAAATGTTGATGGGACATATGAGGTGTAGTGTTTAGTGTCTGGACTCCACATCAAAAGCCCTGGGTAGGTCACTGTGATGGGCACAAGTCTTATACTGCCCTCTCCACTATAGATAAATGGGTCCCAATAAAACTGTCATGCAAACCTAACAGATTAAATGGTAAACCTGCCATGGACTGGCATATTGTGGCTCCTTCTTAGTGTAGAAGACACTGGACACATTATGGTGGAACACCACCTCATTAAAGTACTGTTTTTATTGTTTTCCTTGTTCCTTTGTCTTTTTATTTTATTTTTTACATCAACTGCCTACTTAAATAATTAACTATCAAGGCCAAATCATTAAAAATCATGACAAAATTACATGAATCCAATAAACCTTTAGTTAAAGCCATGTTTACTGAAAAGTTGGAGAAAGCAGGGAAGTTTCTTTACCTGTAGTCCACAAGCACGGAACACTTTTAATGATAAACACACATGACTATCATCCTCTTTCTGTATTTCTGTTACAAGCCCCACTTTCACTTGTTTGTACTTGACGGTAACATCAAGCAAACCAGTGTCTTGTACTCTAGTCTGTCGCATACCATCCATCTCATCTCCAGAAAGAACTGCCAGTGGCAGGGAGAATGTCTGGATATTAGTGTCACCTTGTTTCTGCATGGTTACCATTGCACACAGCTTGGCAAGAGGCAGGCTTGCCTAGCAAGACAAAAATTAATATAAAAATTTAAAAAAAAACAAATAACTAATGAATTGCTTCAAAAACAGGCATGTTCTAACATTAGACTTTAGTAAATATATCTAAATTTTTCAAGGGTCAAATGCTTAAAATGTGTGTGAAATGTTTTGAAACCAGAAGTTTAGTACCAAAAGCACATGATGCCTTTGAAAAGATCACTCTTTTGATGTAAACAGTTGTATTTGGTAGAAACAGTTGCCTAAATACAGCATGTTATTGAAAGTTGTAGAAAACAGACTAGGCAAAATCTTCCATGGTCTCTACCATTACTAATCATAGACTGAAATAACTTTTAAAATATTCAAAACTTTTGTGCAACTCCTCTCTGACACCTTGTGGCTTTACTTCAAACAAATAAGAGAATGGACAATAAAAAATTGTGTAAGATTTGATGAATGGGAGATATTCTTTGGCTGTTTTTCTCTTTCTCTGGACAAATGAGAGCCTCCCCACACCAAATGGACAGCTTCCATGATTGATTTTTGGTTTTTTGTTATCTTGCTCTCTTTCGAATATTTTTAATCTCTCTGCATGGCTATTTGTTGTTTGATGATTCTTCATGATGAAAAGGGACAGATTTTCTTTTCCTAAAAAAATTGACCAGATTTGGCTCAAATTACCTTTAAAGAGGAATTTGTAATGGGTTAAATGGACAAGCAAGTTTTGTACAACATTGTCAGGATGTGCATGTAACAACTTTCAGTGTAATTATTCAGAGCCCATGTCAATGGAAAACATTTATTCTAAAAAAGATAGCAACGAACAAGATTCTCTTTTGAAAGAAGACAGATATTATTGTAAATTTGAACCTTGGCCACCATTTGGTCTCTAATGTTTGGGTAGTAGTATCTTCTCCACAACTCAAAGGGCACCCCACCACACCCTGAGACAGAAGGAACAGCAACTTTTGAGCCAGTGAAAGCTGCCAGTAAGTGTTTCTGAACAGGAAAACCACAAGGAAGCTTGAAAGTATGTCTTGCTGCATCATGAAATACTGGATCAGGTAAACACAGAGTGGTGGGAGTACGATGAGGCTGAAGATCAAAGATTCCTTGACAGGTAAAAAGGAATGGCTTTAGAAACACTGACAAAATAAATATGAATTCCTAATTATCAACATTAGTTGTGCAAATACTGTTTTAATCTGTCGCTGCAATACTGTTGAGCATTGCACGAAAGACAAATAGAACCCTATTAAAGTACAAAAGCAGATTAGAACCCTTAATATGTTCAACCTGTCAGTAATCTATGAATTGACCAATAGAAAGAAATTGTGTAGCTATCAACACATTTACTGTAACTGGAAGTCAATCTTTAGTAAGTAATAATTTACAACCCTAAAATTACACCTACCACTATTTAGTGAAGATTCATGTTCCACTTGGCTCTGGAATGGAAAGTGGTATTGAACAAAACAGTCTGTTTCACCCCAGACAGTGCTCCCAAACACAGACAGACCTCTGACATCTTCAACCACAATCTCAAACTGGTGTTCAACTACCATGTAAAAAATGGAAGGGAAACAATTATCATTTGACTACGTATACCTTTAAACTTCACTTCCCTGCCCTGGTGTTTACTTATTGTATCATTACATTAGGCAAGTAAACATAACAGTCTTTTTGGACACAGTAAAAATAATTAGGAATATCTTTCAAGATTCACTTTTTACTTGGATCACTGCCAAAAGTCTCAGGGAAACTCAAACCTTTGGGTGAGACATAAGTTGCAGAAGAAAAAGTAAGTGGAATTCATACAGTGCTCTGTCAAATAAAATAACTATTTCTTACTGAGTTCTTGATTGCTTGACATTTGAGCACTGTGACTTTCTTGTCCATCTCTGAGCCTTCAAAATTATAAGTACAAATAAAAAGTTACCTCAAAGACAAAAATCAGTTGAAGAGTGTACAATATTGTGTTCTCTTTTCCTTGAAAGAGTTCTGAAAAAACAGGTGAAGAATGGGCTGTGGGAAATTAAAATGAATGAATATCACACAATTAAATAAATATACAAATAAATGAGTATTCAATTTGGGAAATTAATATTTAATTTTCCTTGCTTGTACTACATCAAAATTGAGCTATAATATGAAAATTATCTCATTTCACTAGTATTTGTTGAGAGAGCCACTTTCAAACTGGTGACTGCATAGAGAATAGGCTAGTGGCTGAGCAGCAATCATCGTTATTAGGAAGAGTAAAGTCAGACAGGAGAGACACTACATGCACAGCCTAACACCAACCTTTGAAGATCTAAATGATGATCTGAGCGTGGCTCCATTCCAAATGGAACTTCCCCACCACACTTCATTGACAAAATGGCTCCAATCTAATGTTGTAATAACAAACAGCAGGACTCAAGAAAATAAAAGACCTTCATGATCTTGCAATTTCTAAATCTTAATTACCTAAAAACCAAAATCATTTGTTGATGGATCTAGCATAATTATCCTCAACAGGATGAATGCAGTGATTTCCTCCTTAGCTATGAAGCTGTAAATCAAGATAATTATTGGCTCACAACTGACGTACAACTTATAGGTTAGCTTCATGGCTTGATTGGTTGAGAAATGCATGGACAGTATACAAAGCTGGTTATGATTTCAAATCTTGCTAAAGCCTCAGTCTTTAAAAAGTTTTTTTCTGTCTCTTTCAATTTTAAAATCATCTCTTCCAAAGATATTTATCCATAATGTATACCAGTAACATGGCAGGCTTTTCCAGTCCTTTCTTTAAACATTACTTGCTTTTGCTGAATATTCCAGATTCTGTCACTACGGTAAATACACCAGCCTAACTAATCGATATTGGTCACTCGCAACACATAGACACGTAGTTTAAGATTTATTGAAGAGGAACACCTTTCTTGAAAAAAATTTATACATTCTCCTGAACATCCATGGCATTCTTGCAAATTTTTCCTTCATGCAATGTAAATATGATCAAACCACATCTTAAGAAAAAAAATGTCATCACCTGATTCTCTGAGCCCATTGCAAGGACAACCCTTAGCTGGCCATGGTGTGTATGAGAAAATGGGTTTGTTACGGGACACCACTCATCCACTGCTATCACAGGATACTGAAAAATATATGGCACCTCAGCATTCCATCCTAACTACAGAATAATTAAATATCTAAATGTATGATATCTAATCATTCAAAGACATGTAATATTTCATTACATGGTAAGTCAAATCCTTAAGAAAGTTTCTACTGGTAGACAACACCCAAACTGATGTTCCATCAAAATATTCATCCATAAGCAAGCATCAGACAGGAAGGATAAGAAAAAAGGTTATTCTCATGGATATTTTTTAAACTGCCTTTGCCCTTTTTCTCAATTTCATGTGTGACTTTAAGGAGGAAGTCTTTTTCTATCAGTTTCTATAGAAAAGAAAAATGCATGCACCACTGGGGAATTTGACAGGTCACAGCAAGGTAATGTTAATTTGGAGCCTATCACTGGTGACATAATCTTAATATTGGACTTAACATGGCTGAGTAATTTTGTATAACAGTAACTAATAAATTTATCAAACAAACTAAATTATAACATCTGTTCAACAGTAGTGACCACCTAATTCAGCTGCTACAACATCAGTAAAAAAGAAAAAACAACTACACACAGTTTACCCTTCATGAATCTTTCATACCTCTAGTAATAAATATCACTTATGGGTAACTGTTCCTGTTCATTTCCTATCCAACTTAAAATTGTAGAGCAAAGTGTAGAGGCCTTTTCTACAGCATTTGGGTGGTGACCATTGTATAACCTGTATGATTACTCATTTCACTCACCTTGGACTTGAGAAGTGTTTTTGTGATCTTGTGGTCCCTGTATGACAGGTACAGTTGGTGTATAGGTAACTTCACAAGCCCTAATAACTAAGAAAACAACACAATTGACTGAAGCTAAACCTATCTTCCAAAAGTTTAGTTTTGTAAAAAGTTTTAGAAAAGTGACGACAGAAAATTATTGTTACCAGTGGTAATTTCAATCATAATTTGCAATAACTTATTCACCTTGTCTCCTTGGTCTTGTGGCCCAATTCTGTTCCAAACTTCAATAACCATAAAGTTATTACACACTCGCTGCAATAGACTTGATGTTAACAGCACTGGTGCAACCTAGGCAACAAACAAAAATACATCACAGCAATATTTGAGTGAAAGAAAGTCTGGTTAACAACTTGCATTTCTTTCAATTCTTACATTCATTTTCTTTCTTTTTATTCTTATTTTCACAGTAAGTGTATATTTTAGTACTTCCTTACTGCATTCTGGTCAAATCATGCATTGTCCCCCTAAATGAGATATTTAAATTCCACTCTACCTGATTTCTACACTTACTAGTATAAATACATGCTAGAAAATGTCAGGGAGACTTTATGAGTTGCTAGGGGAAGGGGGGCAGGGAAGATTACCTAATACCTAGAGTGAATGGTTGATTTTATTCCAAAACAGTGGGACAATGTAGCGCAAAAAAGATGATTTAACAATTGCAATATTTTAATTAATACTAAAACACTTTCATAACATCCAAACAGTTCAAATAATCAATCAATATCCTGCAGCACTGCCAACTAACCTGTTTGAAGCCAAATGATGGATTTGATTCACCCCAACATACCCTTGATTTCGACACCTCTTCACACCAGAAAGTTCGACACATAAGGTAAAGGTTGTTCTTAACAACAAGACCAGTCAGAGTATCTTGGTTTACACGGTAACCTTGTTGGGTGAGTTGTTTTCCTTCAGGTATCCATAGCAGGCTGTATAAAGTTAAAGGATCTCTGTCGTACTGAATACCATCTTCAAGATTACCATCTTTGAGAGAACGCTTACTTGATGTCTTCAGAATTTCTTTCATCTCGAGAGGTTCCACATCTGAGACCTTCCCAACATTCTTTACAACAGTATAAGCAGGTCTTGCAGTATGCATATGCTCAGTGGTAGTGAGTGTTGTTGTAGTTGGAAGTGGAGGCTTTCTTTTCATGTTGGTCTTCAGATGAACTTTCTTTCCATCAGCCATTAACTCTACTTTCACCTGCAGGACAGTCAAACAAAATTTGATGAAGATATGTAAGTATCTAACCATGGATACAAATCTAAAGGAAGTACTAAAATATACACTTACTGTGAAAATAAGAATAAAAAGAAAGAAAATGAATGCAAGAATTGAAAGAAATGCAAGTTGTTAACCAGACAGTGAGCCTATAAAAGCAATCACACTTGGCAAAGTTATAGCTTTAATGTGACCAAACTCACAGAGAAAGTCAAATCAGAGAGAAAAGTTATCTTATTTATGCTAATGACCAGGGATGTCACTGGTGAAAAATGGCCCCTTATAAAACTAGAAAAGAAAGGGAAGCAAAACTTATCTTGGATTTGGCTACTGTTTATTATTCTCCTATTAGTTGGAATAATCTTCAAAACCGTGCTTATACTGTATGGTTAGGTATGTCCTTGTACATTCATTCTTGGTAAAGCTCTGCTGATGGTTACTGGTTGTTTTATATCCACAATCATTTTGTAACCAGTCTTTTTGTACCTAGCTAGGTTGTTTCATACCCAAACTAATAAAGTATGTTTCCATGTTAAGTATGTTAAAGTAAGGTTGGTTTCTTCTTGTGAATAGCAACATTACCTGCATTAAATAAGTTTTGCTAATGTGGTGTCCATTGTTAAAGCATGACCACTGAGTGCATTCAATTTACATCATTAACTTATTCAACAAACTGATAATGGGGATCTGGGAGTTGTAAGACAGAATAAACTGAAACTGATAATGGGGATCTGGGAGTCGTAAGACAGAGGCATGATAAGACTAAGACTGTTTCTATCAGAAACATATTGTTATTCCATCCTGAATCCACCTACTTTATTTTATTTATTTGGCAAGAAACTATCTCGCTCATTCAAGCTGGTATTATTAGAAAAAGTCTCTAGTATAAACAATACCCTTTTCTATTTAAAATATCTCAATTATCTTGCGCCAGGCAATAAGGTTTCAAGTATACAAAAAAATTTTGTTTTTATCTTTAATACTCCCTTTACTAACTTGTTGTACACAACAATTGACATCTGTTCATTTGTGTGAGGTATTCTGAATCAATGTAATTTAAAAGGGGTAAGAATCAGGTAAGAATTTATCAGTGGTTTGGATACAAACCAACTCAAACTTACTACACATCAACTGCATTAATTTGGGTATGAAATGACTGGATACCCTGCTGATGAATGCTTCCTTTAACAAAACAACCACTGCAGTAAATTTTCTGTTCATATCTATGTAGAGAACTTGGTGGACAGTGACTTTCTTAAAATTATTGACATACAAAGTGGCAATTATAAAGCTGAAGCTTAGCTATCTTACCAACAAAGGACCACATGATTCACTGAAGTCTTGTAAAGAGGACCATGAGTAAGAGGATTCTTTTTCTTTAGAGTGAAGACCAAATTTGATTTGCAGCAAAGCAGAGGAGCTGAGAGTGTTAGACTGAAGAACTGTCTTCAAAGGGAATGTTGCCACTCCAATAACAACTGGCTACAATCACAATTAATCAACACCCAAAACAGACAAATAATTAAAAAAAGGGTCTATTTATAACACCATAACAATTACTGTATTAATCAAAACTATGACAAAATTCTCAAACATGATTGGTTATCGCTAGCCTGATTTGAGCACTAATAGGACAGTATAAGCATCATGCTTGTAATTGGATAGTTGAAATGTCATGCCTGTGTAAGAGGACAGTACACATCATGTACAAACTGTTGTTTTTTTATTTTTCATGAAATAGTATAACAGATGTCTAGTTTCTTTCTCAAATTTTGTCATGGTTTTGATTAGGTGGTAACTGGACTTCATGTCATCCAATTCTGCTTGTAATCATGCTCATTAACAGGTTGGATTTTGTTAATCTCTCATATGATTTCAGACCAAATTGGACTCCACTCAGTCCTATTACCATTATAAATTACAGTCACTGAGTAATAATGAAGTACTCTCAACCCTTACTGTCTTTTCATTACACTATCCTATATTACAGGTGCATTTTTGATGAGTGAACTCAACATTACTGTGAGAAAGGCTGGGAAGAAAGGGGCAGTCCATATGTACAAGGATGGAGAAACGAAAGAAAAGGAAAAAAAAGGAAGGAAAAAATTTATCTCACTATTATACATCTAACACTTTTACTAACACTGAGATAAACAATTGTTTTTAGTTCATACTACAAATTGCATTGTTTTGTTTCACAATACTTGCTTCATAAACTACATCAAGAATGTGGCCAAGCATTCTGACCACATGCTTTTAATCTTAGCTGTCCACTACTGAATGTGCCCTTTTCTGATCAAATGTTAAAAGTGTCAGTGGACAAAGGGCACATACTTCGCAAAAGGAAAACTTACTTTTCTTTGTCTAGACTCTCTGAAGTAAAGTCGGAATGTCAGAGGAAGTCTCCACCAGTAATCTATAACAACAGAATTAAACAGCAAGGGGAATACAGAACGATGGCCAAATAGCACCACTGTAGGAAAAAAAATTACATTCAACAAATTGTTGCAATACTGTAAGACATGTTCTCTAACTTTTAAAACTAACATTCATAATGTGAATGCATAGATTACTCTTGAGTGACACCACTGACACAGAATGATGAATGAGTTAATTTTGTTTCTTGGAAGGTCAACAATACCCAGCATGTGTGAAAAAAATACGCTACTGTTTTTCTTTCCTTTTTTTGTCAGTTGACCTGTTGTTTATCATTCTTGTAAATATCATATGACAACCAGAAGTACTCTTACCTGGTAAGACCCTGATATCATTTAAATTCATGAGTTATTAATACCATATACACAAACAAGAGTCTTGACATGAGTGAGCAATATGGTATTGAAAACAAGTGTTAAACATGTCATTAGACTCTTATAGGCTCTAATATGAAATGCTTTTTCAATATCAAACTCAAGAAAACTAGGTAATCTGATACACAAAAGCAATAGCTCTCATCTCAGAAATTTTTTCAAGCTGTAAGCCCCTGCTATCTTTCTTGGTCATACCTCAATTACACTGATATCTAAATGACAAGAAAATTGAAAGGAAAAGACTTGTAAAAGATACATATGTAATACTGCTTATGAGTCGTTCACTCACCTCTGTCTTGAATTCTCTTGGAAGCAATTCTGGTTAATTCTGTTGCCATGGTGATATCTTGGTCTTGACCACGTGTTGGGGTTGAGGTTGGGAAATTATACTCAACAAAGAATGTTCTGAATTAATAATAATAATAATATGGTGAAATAAGGCATTCCCCAGAAAACCCCAAATATTGATGTCAAGATCACTACAAGTTTCTTCATCTGGAAATAGCCATACTGATGGTTGCTGGATAACATTCTAATAAGTAGACATGTGAGGCACCTTGACTCAGTGAGACTCAATCAGGAGTTATGTTGAAGAGAACTACTCACTAGAGAAAAAATGTTAGGTAATTGTATAAAAGGTGTTAGTTATGGTTGTTAGTATTCATAGTTCAACCCACACCCATGCTAAAATGCAATTTACAACTTACCTGACCAACCTATTACTTGACTTTTCCCTAACCAGCTCACTTGCACTTACCCAGGTTTAATGGTTTCATTTGCAATCTGAAGACTATCCACCATGACACGTGCTGCATCAACTCTGCCCAGAGCAGTAAGTTTCTCAGGACCAAGGTTTTCAATGAAGGCATCAGGATCTATCCTTGGTGGCTTCCCATGCAATGGTGCTGATGTAAATGAATCACTTGACATACAAAGTACACTGTCTTGACCATCATAGGAAAAATTGCACACTTTGATTTATCTCAAGTCAGTTTGTAAAGAGAAGTAACAATATTTACACTTAATATGGAAAATACCACAGTTTAATTCTCTGATAATGCAATGCTTCTGCTGAGTTACATTGAAAAAGTGCTAAACAAACTCTTCTACCTCAGCTTCAACAGTATTATCATCATTTCATTTGATTCGCAATTTTATTAAAGTCTCAGCAGATAATCTGTTGTAATGTAGCAGAGTAAAACTACAGTGGTCAGGTAATTAAGTTTAGGCAGCATTAGACTTCTGTTTGCATAACCTTATTTTGCTTCCTGTATCCCTAATCCCCATGAATATCTACAGCATACTGAACCCAGAGACCTACCTCTAGAATCTTCACTTGCGTCATCAGCACTGCTCTGTTTTTTATCAAGGTAACCTAAACTAGGAAGCTCATCATTTCCTCCAGGGTTTTGTACATGATTCACTTCCTTCCCAATCCTTGTACTGATGTCTCTAGATGCTGTCTTTGGAGATCTCTTCTTGCTTATTGCTTCACTTAATACCTTTTTAGAATGACATAAATGTTTAGTAGGTACTACAAATATGATAAACATACTAATTATGGTTATGCAAGTAGCTTAGAATGAATTCAATGAATAATGTAAATTTTACTAACATTAAGTAGAAAACTCCAGTTTTCAACATCCATCAACAAGCATGGTTCTCACTTGTGAAATTACAATCATAATTATAAACATAACCACTATGACTGAAGGTTAATAGAAACATAAAGCTGCATCGATCATAATCACATAAAAAATCTGATCATTTTCTTACAATTAAGATTTCCATGGACATCAGTGGGAAGTATGCTGTAATGGTTATTATGCTCTGAATTGTGCTAGTATGATATTTTTATTACAATAAAAATGTAAAACATTAAAAGGAAAAAACATGGGTATCACATTAACACTTAACACTTTTATCTTGACATCAAAATATTAATTTTCATTGCCACAATAAATCTTTAAATATAATTTACCAGTCCCATGAGCCTGAGTGTTCAATGGTCTTGACAAATTACACCAACATTAGTCATGGTATCACATATAAAACCGTACCTCCATTTTATCAAAGATTAATTTTACTTTAGAACTCGAACTTGTAACTTGTACCTTTTCAAATTGATCTTCTTGCAAGGGATTTTGTACACTTTTGTCATCATCAACACTACCATCATCATAGTTGTCTTCATCAGTGACAACTGTATTATCTGAATCTGTATCTGACTGTACTATCTGAAAAATGTTAAAAACTCTATTGATCAATTATTCAAACCTAGTATTTATTTGACCTCACCATTTAGTTAAAGATAGTCTGTGAATGATTATTTTTCTGTGACTAACTCACATCCTTACACTCTCTATAACATTCACAGGTATCTACCTACTTCGTAGTACAATAGCTGTCTGAATCTGCCGCCCTTAACATAGCAAGTGTAACCCTGATAGAAGTGATATTGGTGCCTCAACCCCTTACAAGCTTTGTAAATTACATGTATCTAAAAGTATTTCTCAGAAAGATAACTTTACAGCCTAAAGCAAGAATTAAGATTCTTGGAGCAAGGTACAGTGATATTGTAAGGCAATGCATGAGAAGTCAAAGAAAATTTTTTGGGGGGGCCAACATTCCAAAAATAGCCATGTGAACCCTTCTCTTAATTCTTAACTTCACAACTTTATCTGTGTTTTGAATGACAATGTTGTTAGCTTACTTACATTAATGACTTACTGAGTCCCAAAGGCCACTGAATGAGATAATCACAGATAATGTATCTAGCAGGGTGAAACATTTGTAATGTAAAGCCTTGTAACTTACTGGGTTGGTGTAAAAAAGATCTTTCAACAGTGTGTCATCATGTAGGGGATCCCCTGGCTCACTAACTATGCTACTGTCAGGGGAGGAGTTGAGTGATTCATCCAGATAAAGCTTTTCATCTTCACCAAGAAGCAAGTCCACAGCTTTGTTATTATGTAAAAATACTGACTCAATTACAGAATCCTCTTCTCCTCCAGACTTGACAAGTCCATGCTTGATTTCAGTAGAAGTAAGAATTTCCTTAAGGAGTTTGCCAGATGGTGCATTCCTGAATATGCCAAGTTCAAATATAAGCTCACTGCCTACTAGAACAGAATTGTCAAAGTTTGCCAGAACTTGGAGTGTTGTATAATTACATATATATATATATATATACACATTTTTTTTTTGTTTACTGAACATAAAGTGGAACACATATCCTCTTATTACTGACAGCACAAGGGCAACTGAACTTTAAACTTTGTTGATACAATTTTAAGCTTAGTATTATCACTGACAGTGGGTTAAGTTCCCTTCTAAAGTGTTCATGCAGTTACCCTGAACCTACCTTCTTTTAATTGTTGTATAGAATAAATGGATGATTCCTAAATGAAAAGCTAAGATTAAACTTGTTTGATCTATGATTCCTTTAGCATTAAATTTATTATTAATAATAATAAATTTTATTTAAGTGTCAATACACTTTAGCTATATGAGCTAATTGGGGACAGTACTAACTGATTTTTAAACACTCTTAGATTGCTTTAAATATTTGACCGTACACAAGTTCTTGATTGCTAGATAGTTATATTCTTGATTTTACCACAGTAGATGTGTACATTTTCACCTAAAGGTTGAATAGAGATAGGAAAAAAAACTAGTGTAGTGTTAAATATCAATTGATGTTATAATTCAACACAATGTGTTAAAATATGGGAATATCTGAATGACAGCATATACAAAAACTTATTGATGGCACTGTCTCTGACTAAGAAACGGGAAGTTTTTGAACATAACTGACATTACAGACAATAACCAAAATGTAGACTGAGATTTAAAAACAGTGTTATGGACAAACCTGTCAAAAACAACACTTGCTCCTCCAGCTTCGTCTTCATTGTTGGCCTCATCTGCCGACATTACCATTGCCTCCCTTAGCTTCTCCCCTCGATGAAGTAACACACCAATCAGATCAGAAGATTCATTTTGACCTCTGTGGGCAATGTGAAGTGGTTCGCTTGATTTGGTCAGCTCTTTAGATCTCACTTTAGTTCCGAGATCATCTAAAGACACATTTTAAGTAAAATCAATTTCTGACACAAAATTCACTGAGGCTCAAAATTGAGTTTGGATGAAATTTTGTACTTCTGACTCTTATTCATCCAGAGATTATGTGGAGCAAAAATTGAGTTCACAAACAAACAAATTGCCATTTTGTATCCATTTAAACAAAAAAACATGGAAAGAGAGTCATTTAGAGCAACCAAAGGAAAACATTTTTACACCTAAATTATATTATGCTAGTTTGTAAACATGTCTTTTCTGAAGCATAAGGAAGGACACTGACCAATACATGAACCTTGTCAGTAACCTGATTGTTTCTTGCCTGTTCTTGATGTTGAAATTAGTGATTGTTCTGCAGTGTATTCAAGTCTCTCTGGTGAAGTGAGAGCAAATTTCACACCCTAAAAAAAACATACTAGGTGTTAACAAAAAATTAATCTTCAATTTAATTATGATTTTTCAATTGATACTCATTATGATCAAACACACTGAAACAACTGTGACCCCACAAATAATTTTTTCTACTAAAGCTTCCTTACAATTCACCTATATGCGTATAGTTTGTTGGTTGCTATTATCCTCAAGTCAAACTATACTTCACTTCATGTTATTGTGAACAGGTTCCTTAAACACAGAAGCCACTAAATTCCCATTGTCAATACCAAAATTTGGTTTAATGGTCCTGAGCAAAGTTGGTAATTGGGCCCAAATCTTGGAAAAGCCTTATTTTTTCAGGTCTCTTTTCTCTCAATTTTTTCCAAACCAGTTTATGTATGAGCATTTTTCTTCTCCTTATAAACATTATCACTAATGACCTTGGCAGGCACTGCAGGTGGCATGAAGAGATCCATGTCCTCTGCCCACTGTCTTGGATGAGGGATTGGTTCAACTGGATTTAACAGGGATGGGGGAGGAGTTGGCTTGGCATCACTCTCATCAATAGCCTGTCTTTGTGCATCTATTTCCATGTCTACAGTAGGTACCAGAGAAGATGACAGCTGGCTGTAAGCTGCTGAAAAGTTCCATGTGTGAAATATTTCCATGTTAATATTAAATGCATTGAATCTTACCCAGCAGCAAGCAAAAAATTATAACTCTCCTACTCTGGCTAGAACAAACCTCCTTTGGTGTAACTATCAGTGGTACTTAGTGTTGTTGTAAAAAATATATTCATTTAGCAAATGATAAAGCTATAACAGTTGTAAAACAAACATGCATTTTAAATTAATACCACATTTGAACTGTCTCCTACCTGATGTTGACTCAAATCTCAGAGTAATGTACAAAATAGCCAGCTTTTCACTAGGTAATGTTGTAGACATAACATTAAAAAAGCTAGAAAAAGAAGATAGCTTGTATCAATTTTTGTGGCAAAGGTGAACAACAGAACAGTTGAAATGGGAAAGTTGATCAGCAGTAAGAATATGACAACTACTGACAATAAACAATGCCATGCTTGAAGTGTGTGTGATGTGTACCACTCGGTTATCATATCTTTTCCTAGTTTGAGACATCTTGGTTGAAGAACTGCCTCTAGCAAATAATTATCATTTCCAGTACCAGAACATTATGTATTCTTTACATGATGCATTTTGCTGTCCAGTAAAACAAATAGCTACTGATAAAGTATAACCTGGACTAACAAAACACTTAGGGTGAGTAATTTGTCTTTTACATTACTATTTCATGACAATGAATGTTAAGGCCAGTGATTGTTTTGAAACCAGCGGCTAATATCTTGGCTGAAGCACTTGTAAATTTTGTCATGTTTTGATACATACCCCTGGATGGGAGTGCTTGCTGACAGTGTTGAGACATCAACCAGTCTCACTCGGCCAAGTACTATAAGTGATGGACCATGAACTACCTCAAATATCAGGGCTCCCATATCTAAATAAACATATCTACAAAGTTAATTCCAAACATGTCAGAGAACTGGAAATATATAGATTAATTTGTAATTTTCTTGGCACAGTAGTTACTCCCATGATTTTTTTTTCAAGTTAATGATGAGTTCCAGCACTTCTCTTTCCTACACCAACTCCTGTGTAAAATGTACTGAAATAATAAACAAACCTACAAAGACAATGAAATGTAATTTATCCCTGCATCATTGCTTTGAAATGAATCATATTTGGTATACAAGAAATGGTCATCACACCAGGAGCTCACCCATTTAACAATGTAACAGAAGAAAACAATAATTGAGTTATAAATTTTTCCCTATGAATCACTCACCATTTAAATATGCACTAAATTGTCTTGGACCACTGCATACTGCATATCTTACACATGTCAGCCTTGTGTAATTTTTTGTCTGTTCATCTGCCTTGTCATCTAAAGGTCTGTATTGTTTTGATTATTATATATAAAAATGTAATAAATTTGTGGATTAGAATTCCAATGAACATTGGTAGGGTAACAGGTCCACAAACTTGGTAAGAGAGGGACTCTACTAATGAAAGTATACCTACAGAACTAAGAGGTTTCATGTGAGTGGATGTTCACCATTTTTTTCCATATCTTAACTCTTTTATACTCCCTATCAAAATATGATTGTTAATTCTCCCTATCTGCTACACATTTCCTGGTAAATTACACACAAGAATTTGCTGTTAGATCAAGGCAACAACTTCTACCTGATAAGTTTCAGTATTCTTATTACCTGTTTGCTGGATGATGCATGTATATTGTTGGGAGAAGTTACATTTCCATCACTTTTGGGAGTTAAGGGTTAACTAAATTAAAAAAAAAAAACAAAATTAACAGCCTACCTTAACAGTACACCATCACCATCTTCTCCCCACCATCTGAGTCGTACTTGGACATCTGTTGGATACTTTTGAACAATCCAGTGAATTCTTGGCACAGACACTCTTAAAAAACACCTAAGGTGACCATCTACAGCAGGGGGGAGACTGGTCACCACTGGTATTCTGTCATGATCAGACACTGTGCTTGTTGGGGTACTGGAAACTAACAATTAACATAGAGTAAAATAATTGTTTAGAGTTCTGCTAGAAAATAATATTGAAAAGAGGTCACAGTAGCTAGTAGTACTTGTTGATAACATCTTCTTGGTGTTTACACCTTTAGCACATTTTCCAAGGTAGAACCAATCATGCCAGATAGGTCAAAGTAATGGACCATTTGACAGGTAACATAAGGAGAAAGGTCAATAATAGACAAAAGTACAAATAAATGATTGCCATGTATTCCTCTGTATTACTGTAATTTACTAAATGAAACTAAACAAAACAAATCGAATTAAATTCTGTAATTTACTATAAAAAAACTCTGTAATTTGCAAAACAGAAATCTGTAATTTACAAAGTAAAAAAAATCTGTATTTATGTGAAAGAAGACTTCCACTATTAAGCTGTAAAGTGCACATCCATTTTGAAGTATTAGTATGCACTGTACCTGTACTGTATATGAGGTATAATCAATATAACTAATCAATGACTAATAAGAATGCATGACATGACATTTTTGTTGCAGTAAAAGGTATATGTATCATATTTCTAGATAAAATATCTTTCTAGATAAAATATCATATTTTCTGGGAAAATAAAACTGACCCAAGTTCTTTGCCATTCTTGAATGTCAGGCATGTAATTACAATTTGAACTGCATGCTAAAACCTTTTGGAGGAATGATATTTAAATCTTGTTTGTTTGTCTGTCTTTTTTTAAACCTAGACATCTGTGACAAAAGTTGGTATGACCTTTTCACTCTTTAACTCCCACTCTTTTTAATTTGTTTTGAGAATTTGGTATTAGATCAAGACAATAACCATGAGGTGGCCATGGTAAGGAATTACACAAAAGCTCTGCATTGGTGGATGTTCCTCTGCACCAATAATACAAAACAATACATGAGCATTATTGACTAGTTTAAAAGACAGTTGATAGATAGTACAGCAATGACAAAATTGCTTCGGTGTCATTTTCCATCAGTAAATAATGTTATCACTCTGGCTACAGATCTGTCATTAATTACATCATTGTTTGGCAAATCACCAAATTAAACTCACATTAGGATATGAACTTTATTCGTTTGTCTCACGATGGAGTCACTTTGGACGTTGATTGCACCATTTAGACTGCAATACTGCTAGTCTTCAACAGGTGATGAGGTCGATTGTTTAAGTGTCGCTCTGTCATGTTCTTTTATCCTTTCTGGCATTGATCTCCCATTTTACCGATATAAACTTTGCCGCATTCACGTGGGATCTTGTAAACAACACCATTTCGTTTTTTTGGTTCCAGGGTGTCTTTAGGTCGCACTTAGTGCGACCTAAGGACCCTCTGGAACCTGGAAAAACATTCAAAGTGACTCCATTGTGAGACAAACAAATAAAGTTCAACCCATATCAATACACCACGATGAACTAATAACCACATATTTTATTACATTAAACTCACATTTTACTCAGAATTAGAGGAGGTTAACTGAGATGTATGGCTCGCAAAGAAATAACATAAACCAAAACTTCGATACCTTTCCATACAACCTCGGTTGCCAGTACCCCTCCCCTCAACTATTGAAGTCAAGTAACAACGCCAATTTCAGTTAGAAACCTACCAGAGCCTTGCTCTTTCTTGGTTGAGTTGGAGCTCGTCTTCGTCTTCTTTCCAGCCTTTCTCTTGGAGTTTATCATCTCAAGTTCTTAAAATAGCTTTTAATCTATCTGTTTGTGAAGGTAATCATGCTGTGAAGTAAACAAGAAATGGAACTGAGGAACTTAGTACTAAAGCAAGTTGAAGTTCGATTTTCCCGCCATGTTTATTACCCGAGATTCATGGTGGCGGATATCAATTTATATAAGAAGCCATAAATTGTCAACCAACTTGGTTACTACAGGCGACGGCCAGAAAGGCCGGTAGATTATTCCCTCTTTTGCGGTATTTTCACGAAAATGGCTTTCTTCGATGATAGAAATGAATCGTTGACTTTTTAGTGCCCCCCCCCCCCCATTCAATTTAAGTAGAGATGGCCTTTTATGGTCATGAACAAAAAAATGGAGTAACATCGGGGAGTGGCAGTCGTCACTCCACGAAATGCATACTAACGGTAAACATAGCGTTCATGGCTTTCGGTTTGCTGAAAAGCTCCGTCCCATCTTTTATCACCGGTAAATTAGAAGGAAGTTTGCATTGTGGTCCTTCTCTTGCACACTGTGACAACTTCACCGAATTGCCCAGTTTAACAATGTATTAGGAGAATGTTACTCCATCCCTCCCCAAAAAAAGGATAATAACAATAATAATAATAATAATAATAATAATAATAATAATAATAATAGACAAACAAATTTGGCTGCTCAATTAATTCAAAGGGTCTGATATTCACAGGATCTGGCTATCGTCAGCATATTCCGAGGGCAAACTAGAGAGCTCAGTATTCTTTGTCAATGCCGTCCTTAGTGTGTGCGTGTGCGTGTGCGTGTGTCAATGTTGGATTGATTCCATCGCAACATACTACTGTACTCTAGTTTCATGACATGATAGGCATGAGGGACGATACTCCGACGTTCTGACTGGTGCAAGTCTGCCCCAGTGCTGTGATCTGAATGGTGCGAGATACATACCCTGATGCAGTAAGCTGATTGATGCGATACATACCTTAATGAGGACAACTGGTGTCCTCGGATTGATGCGGTGGACCATGTTCTAAAATCCTAGCGTTCTCGCTCCCTGTCTCTCCGTGGCAACGTGGTGGAACATAGTTCCACCGCATTGCGTCGACAAGTTTACTCCTATGTACCCCTCGACTGGCCGATCACGTGGTGCTCCCTGTCCTTTTTTGACCCCAATCGTCAGGTCATCGATACGAATTAGAAGATAGCACACGGCGTCCTGTACACCGCGCAGCGTTTCGCCTCTTTTCGGTTGCCAGTACTCCTCCCCTGCTTTTGCGGGGCTCCCATTGAGTCCCTGGAACACCTTTCCTTTTATTGCCTGCTGGCTCAGAGTGTCCTCTCTTAGTTGCAGTCCCTCATGTTTAACTTATCTTTTATGTGTCCTGTCCTTCTTCGTCGTCATGTTCTTTTCGGCTTCAACTCCGACGCGTTAGTCGCCACTCCCTGTATTTTTGTCTACCTCTTAAACCTCTGTAAGTTCTTTATTTGGCAATCGCGAAACGACCTCCGATTTCGCAACACCCGTCTTGGCGCTGTAGGCTGTAGTGGTCATCGTAAGGGTGAAGTCTCGCTTGAGATTTCACCTTCCATCTTCTTTAGACGTTTCAGATCAGAACACTGTCGTCGCTACTTCCATCGTCAGTGGTGTGCCCGTGGTGTCGTCGCCACCGTCTCCGACAGTTATCTTGTCTTTCCAGCCTGACTTGTTCCACCCAGCTCTCTGTCTTTCCGTTCTGTCTCCTGTGTGTTCCTCTGCATTGCCCTAATCTGGACACTTCTGTTCTGTCCTCTTCTGGGTCTCCTTCATTGGTGTGCTGCACAGAGGCGTTTTTGTCTTGCATGGCCCCAATCTGGGCATTTTTCGTTGTGCCTTGTCGTGTTTGTCATGTGTCCGTTCCGTGACCTCTTGTGCTAGGTCTCCTTCATTGGTGTACGGCACAAAGGTGGTGTGTTTGTCGAGTCTTCTGTTACGGTTATGGGTGGTTTTTTGAGCGGGTGTGCCTGTTCATTGTCTGGTTTGAGAGAGTACGCTTTATTTTCAGTTTGGAGTGGGTGTGTTTAATTTTTAGGTGGGATTCGATTCCCTAAGAATTTGGTGTCTAGTGACCCTCGGTTTGCGGTGAACCCAACCCTAAGGCATTGCACTCCAGCCATAGGTTGGATCAGACTTGTTGATCGGCAGGCATTGCACCGCCCTCACGGGAGCCTGACCGTTCGCCTCAAAACATAGAAAAAACACTCGATACGCTAACACAGTTATTTTTTAAACAAAAGAATTTTAGTTCTCTGAGTCTTCACGATCTTCATAAAATCTAAAATGTTCGGCATGGGACGCTGCGTTTCACTTTGACTGTCATCAACAGTGCGACGGAAAAATGTTTAAGAATGTTTTTGAGGTTAGGTATGTACATACATAAACAACCAGTCCAATCAATGACAAAGGAGACAACTTTAATAACATTAAACACACTTCAAAACTTCTAAAAATGATGAAAGTAACAACATAGTTACAAAAGTTTGAAAATGCAACGCCCAACAAAACGACTCCAGTTTATACCCAAAACGATAAGTGAATCATTAAAGTGACAGATAGCCTATCGCTAGGAGTTAACAAATATCCGTTAACTTTTGGTTAGTTAAGTCCGATTTCGGACGCTTGCTAGAAAACCCAAGATAGTGGCCTCTGACTACATGAGGGTCAAACACCTCTTTCCTTCATTTGTTAATCGATACAGACCTGATGCTAACGGAGCAAGGTTGCTCTGAAAAGACAGAGAGAAGTATGTTCGGCTCATCAAATAGCCACAGGCGAATTCGTCTTATCCCCTTCATGCCAAAGCTTACACATTTTAAAGCTGTTTTTTGTCAGACAGTTTAAAATTGTCTTCTTCGTCGAAGCTGCTTAGACCAATTTTTGTCGATTTTCAAGTTGGCACATTGAAAATACAAATTACTACTTCAAGCATAAGGGAAATTCAGTTTTCTAATTCTCGTTTCTGTTTTCATTCAGTTAAACATTGATAAACTACACATGTTTCGCTGATGTGAATGGTGCATAAGTCTAACATGGTTCAAAACTAAAAAGCGCAGTGGAATACAACTGAAAAAAAAACAAAACAAAACAAAAACTCGACAGTACAATTCAAAGGCCTATAATTTTCCCTCCTGAACAAGGAAGTACTTTGAAAATGACCGCGATTAACACAGATTTCTTCAATAGAGATAAAAATCCTTGAATCCATAGGGTGTTAATGGACATGAATGCCAAAAATTCAATGAGCTTAACAAAAATACCAATTTAGAAATCTACGAATTAATAAGTTTTACTATGAGACTTACTGATTCGAACTACGCGAGCTTTAAGGTCAAGCGCACTAAGATGGTATTCATTACAGGGGGTGGCAGAGGGGATCTTGATCCCGTTTCACGCACGAATTTTAGAGAAATTCACGCGGGACGTATATCAAAGGGGAAACTTCAAATCCCTCTTCTTTTCTACAAGGTTTCAGGGAAATCTTAGGGTTTTATCGCATAAAAGAAACAATTCACGGGTCACGTATATTTCAAGAGGCGAATTACGCCTTCATAAATTTACGAATCACGCTTGCCTTTCTGTAAATTCACGCGTCACACATTAAATTTGGCCCTAATCACGCGTCACATATCAACCCTTTGCCATCCTCGTTATAATTGATTTATTTTGTATGTTACTGATAAAACAATGGTATATAAAATTGTGTAAAATAATGGTTAGAAACATCTTGGATGGCTTATTCCTCGTCGTCATCTGAGCTACTGTCAATTCTTCGTCTCTTTTTGGAGTTTCCTTGACTACTGTTCTTGTAAGGAGAAGTGCTCCGCTCGTTCTTTCCTCCATTATATTCGTCCTCCGAATTACTGAAATCACTATCAACCACTCCCTGAAGTCGGCTGAACAGTTTAGGGTTTGAGTTTAGGACGGTACTGGGTGTTGGCTTGCGATCTGATATTATACGGCTGCTTCTAGTTGGCCGCCCTCCACCATCTAAAGTAATAAATAATAAACTAATTTACCAACTAAACTGATCTTTGGAAGATATGAATTATCTTGTTTAAATGTCACACCCTAACTCTGGCTGCAACTAACTCAAAACGTCTCAAAACCAATTTTTTAAGGTGTCAGCGCCTTCTCCATCTTTCTAGAGCGCACCTCAAGTAATTTCAATACTTCTCAACAAATTAGTAGCTTTTAATCGGCAAAAGGTCTTCGGTCCCAACGCAACTGCATTCAGAATGAAAGATAAAATGAACAATATGGCAAGTAAGTATATGTTTCGTGAAAAGTCTGACATTCTCTGCTGAAAGGAATATCATTTTATATTAGGGAACATCGTCAAGGGTTGAAATAACTTCCTTCTGAATAAAATTTGAGAAAGGTAAATGGTTCTTTTTAAATATGCAAGGAAAGAAATTTCATGGCCTACAATTTTGCGTTCAATCTGCCATGACACCTGCACCTGAACAAAGAGAACTCGCAACTCAATTTTTCCGTTTAAGGTCACTGCTTTCTAACCTGTGGAGATAATATTGCCACAATCAAGCTCAGCTACTTCATCTGCTTCCTCCCTGGCCTGCTTGAACTCCTTACACATACCAAGCGATATTCTTCCTGAATAACAGAGAAATGGTTACATATACACTAACAAACCTACACCATCCAAAGTACTTCCTACTATCACTTAAACATTTACTAAATAAAGACAAGGACAATTAATAAACCAACCTGTATTTTCCAGAGGACGCAGCAGTGAAAACTATGCATTTTGCAGTCTGATAATTAGAAAAACTAATTATGTGACCAAATTAAGTATTATTAATGAAATTTTACCTTCAAACCCAGTATCCTTTCGCAGCACTGTTTCTAAAATTGTCTCTTTCTGAGACATGGAATTACATGCAGCAAACAGTTTAACATAGTTTTTACGCAGTCCACAGGTTCGAACAAAACGTTTTAAGTTTTTTAGTCTAACACTGTCTGCAGAAGGTGGTGATGACTTTTTCTTTCTTCTAGAGGAGCCTATCTCCTGCAAAACAATGAAATTTACTTATTCAAATCCTGAGAGGAGCAATGAAAAAGAGCAAGAACTTACCAAC